AGATGTGGGGAGGCAGGAATGGGAGGATTAAAGGAAAAGAGAGAGGGAAGGGGGAGTATGTGAGGGAATACAGGGGAGGACAGCTAAAGTGAAGGCTTGTTTGAGGGGTCAGATGGAAACCTACTATTCTTCAAATAAATGCACATGTGATTATTATTAAAATTATTCTTAAAATAAATTATTTTAAGAATATTAAAATATATTATTCTTAAAATGAATGCATATATGAAAGAAATCTAAGTGGACCAAATAACATGGAAGACAAAGGTCTAATTAGACATCTCTTGCCACCAAATGAAACCCTCCATGCTGGGAATGGGTTACAGCTAATTAAGTTATTGGCCAATAGGAACCCCTAAATATCCCAGGCTATTGCCTAGTCTATTAGTTGCTCCCCATAAGTTGATGGTAAGGCCCTATTGCTGAAGACAACACCTATAAAACTCATTGGACATAGAGAAGTACAGCTGGTGCCTACTTAGAGCCTTCATCCCCACTGACTAGTGTTCTTGGCACCCAAAGGCTCTCCACATACAGCTAGTGGGAAAGGTAATCATCAACCAGCTAGAAACACTGAGCCCTACAGTGGGGACCTGCCCTTTAGGATGATGTTGGTTGTAGCTCTGCAAACTGCCCTTATTATGTTGAAATATGTCCCTTGTATCCCTAGTCTCCCAGGACTTTTTATCATGAAGGAGTGTTGGATTTTATGAGAGGCCTTTTCTACATCTAATGGCATTTGGGTTTTTTCTTTCACTCTGTTTATGTAGTAGATTGCATTTATCAATTTATGTATGTTGGATATCCCTGCATCTCTGGGATAAAACCTACTTGATCATGGTGGGTGATCTTTTTGACGTGTTCTTGGACTTGCTTTGCAAGTATTTTGTTGGGAATTTTTGCATCTATGTTCATGAGGAAGATTGGTCTGTTATTCTCTTTGTTTGTTCTTTATGTGACTTAGGTATCAGGATAATTGTGGCCTCAAAAGGATTGGGTAAGTCTGTTTCCATTTTGTGGAATAATTTGAGGAGTGTTGGAATTAATTCTTCTTTGAAAGTTTGGTAGAATTCTGTGTTGAATCCATCTGGCCTTGGGCTTCTTGTTTTTAGTTGGGAAACCTAATTACTGCTTCTATCTTACTGGGCATTATTGGTCTGTGTAAACTGTTCTTTTTTTTTCTATTTTATTTTATTTATTTTTTTATTTTACAATACTATTCAGTTCTACATAACAGCCACAGATTCTCTTGTTCTTCCCCTTCCTGCACTCTCCCCTTCCCCCCAGTCCACCCCCTATTCCCACCACCTCCAGATCAAGGTCACCCCCGTGTTTATCTGTTCTTGATTTAACTTTGGTAGGTGGTATCTATCAAGAAATATGCATTTAGTTTAGATTTTCCAACTTGGTGCAGTACAGGTTTTTAAGGTACGTTCTTATGATTCTCTGGATTTCTTCACTATCTGTTGTTATGCACCCCCCTTTTGTCTCTAATTTTATTAATTTAATTAATCTGTCTTGTAGTTAATTTCGCTAAGGGTTTATTAATATTAGTGATTTTCTCTATTCTTTGTTTCATTGATTCTTTGTATTATTGTTTGTTTATTCATTTCAGTCTTGAATTTTCGTATTTCCTACCTTCTACTCCTTATGAGTATTATTTCTTCTTTTTGTTATAGAAATTTCAGGTATGCTGTTAAGTTATTAATATGAAGTCTGTCCAGTTTTTTATGTAGACACTGGTGCTATGTACTTGCCCCTTAGAACTGCTTTTATTGTGTCCCATAAGTTTGGCTATGTTGTGTTTTCACTTTCATTCAATTCTAAAAAGTTTTTAATTTTTTTTCTTAATTTCTGCCTTGACCCATTTTTCATTCAGTAGGGATTCAGTTTCCATGAGTTTGTGTACTTTCTGTTGTTCTTATTGTTGTTTTCCAGCTTTAATCTGTGATGGTCACATAGAATGCAGGGTGTTACTTTGATTTTTCTTGCATTTGTTAACATTTTCTTTGTGTCCAAGAATGTGGTCAATTTTTGAGAAAGTTCTATGATGTGCTGACAATAAAGTATATTCTTTTGTGTTTGGGTGAAATGCTTTGTAAATATCTGTTAGGTCCATTGGGTATATATAACTTCAGTTAGCTCCAGCATTTGTCTGTTTAGTTTCTGTCTAGATAATCCATCTATCGGTGAAAGGGTATTCAATGCTTCCACTATCTGTGTGTGGGGGTCAATATGTGATTTAAGCTGTTTAAGTACTTCTTTTTCAAACTTGGATGCCCTTGCAGTATGCTCAGCCTGGTGGTGGTGGTGGTGTGAGCCTTTAATCCCAGCACTTGGGAGGCAAAGACAGGCAGATCTCTGTGAGTTCAAGGCCAGCCTGGTCTACAAAGTGAGTTCCACTACAGTCAGAGCCATTACATAGAGAAGCCCTGTCTTGAAAGAAATAAAAAGTAAACAAACAAAAACCAACAACAACAAAAAGAATTGCAGCGTCCTCTTGGTGAATTTTTCCTTTGATGAATATCTAGTTCCTATGCCATCTCTTCTGACTAATTTAGTTTGAAGTCTATTTTGTCAGATATAAAAATGGCTATACCAATTTCTTTCTTAGGCCCATTTGCTTGGAATGTCTTTTTACAGCCCTTTACCCTGAGGTAATGTCCATCCTTGATATTAAGATATGTTTCTTGGATGCAGCAGAAGGATGGATCCTATTTTTAAATCTAGCCTGTTAGTCTGTGTCTTTTTAATGAAGGATTGAGACCACTGATGTTGAGCGTTATCAGTGAGGGTGTTTGTTGATTCCTGTTATTTTGTTGTAATGGTGTGGGTTTTTCCTTCTCTCTAGATTTGCTGCTCTTGGGATTATTTATTTTTGTGTTTTCTTGAGTGTGGTTAACCTTTTCAGGTTGGAGTTTTCTTTCTAGCACCTTCTGTAGAGTTGGTGAGATGCACACTGCTTACATGTGCTTTTATCATGAAATGTCTTGTTTTCTTCTATTATATTTGAAAGTTTTTCTGGGTAAAGTAGTCTGGGTTGGCATCTGTGTTCTCTTAAATCTGTATAACATCTGTCCAAGCGTTTCTGCCTTTTAGAGTCTCCATTGAGAAGTCCAGTGTTATTATCATAAGTCTGCATTTATATGTTATTTGGCCTTTTTCCCTTGCAGCTTTTAATATTCTTTTTTGTTCTGTACATCAGTGTGTTGATTATTATGTGTCAAAGGGAATTTCTTTCCTGGTATAGTCTATCTGGTCTTCTTCTGTAAGCTTCTTGTACCTTGATAGATGCCAGTTTCTTAAGGTTAGGGAAATTTTCTTCTATGATTTTGTTGAAAATACTTTCTGGGCCTTTGAACTGGGTTTCTTCTCCTTCCCTATTCCTATTATTCATAGATTTGGTCTTTTCACAATGTCCTAGATTTCCTATATATTTTGTGCCTGGATTTTTTTAGATTCAACATTTTCTTGGACTGAGGGAAGACAGGCTCTGTAAGTGGTCTGCTACAGGGTTGGAGATGAGAATGGAGAATTTGAAAAGGAGGAACAGGAAAGAAAGCAAAGATTGCTAGGCCCCATTTTAAAAGATTGGTTTGTAGAAATTCTACATATTCTAGGAACTGATCTTTCCTTAATCATTTATGTAGCAATATGTTCTGATGTCTTTTTTTGTCTCTGATAGTGTTTAAGAGAGACGTGCTTAATTTTTCTTACATGTTTTGCTCTGTTTCTTGTTGAAGAAATCTCTTCCTTCCCAAAAGTTGATAGAGGTTGATGGATAGGAACTGATTGTCTTCTAGGAGTTTCAATTTTAGGAGTGTGAATGTGTACATTATTTTTCCACATGAATAATGTTTAAAAGCCCTTTTACTACGGATGTGTATATGTGTATATGTGTGCCATATACCATGTCATAAATAAATATTTTCTGAACATATTTGTGGATATGCTCCGAGTTCTCCAGCCACCACAGGCCAGTGAGTGAATCAGCCAGATGCCCCAGAGCCCTCCGAGGGATTGTGTTTCTTAACTAGGAAGGCATCTCTAGTTATAAATTGAGCTCTCCTGGAGTTAGTTTGTGCTCCAAGGATAGCATCAAAACCCCAGGTACTTCCCATCTTTTCCTCTTTGGGGAACCATTTGTTTCTGTGTTTCTTCTAAGTGTGGCTGTTTCAGCCTCTGCATGTTACCACATCAAAAACAGAAACTAGTTTTCTGGGCTCTGATTATTTGCAGGCAAAGTGCATCTAAGCAGTAGGCTTTCATGCAGCCCACTAGAGGGTGTTGAGTTCTCAGGTTGGGGTGGGGTAGGGACAGGCATCTTTTCTTTTCTTTTCTCTTTTTGGTCTGTTGTTCAGCTCCGAGTTTCAGAACCAGGCAGGTTACCTTTCAGACGCCTTCAGGAAAGGCAGGCTGATTCTCACAGTTTCTTTCCCTGTGTGGGTTTTATTCTCTGCCTTCTGAACCCACGAGGCAGTTAAAGATGAACCTGTATGACCCAGGAAAATTCTATGATGGCTTACTTTGTTTATATTTTTTAAAGATGTCTTTTATTTTCAGAATTATGTGTATAAGAGTGTGTTGGGGAGGTATGTGTATAAGTGAGTGCAGGTACCCTCTATCCAGAAGAGGGTGTGGGATCCCTGGAGCTGGAGCTGCAGGTAATTGTGCGCACTCTGCCGTGGGAACCGAACTCAGGTAGTACATGCTCTTAACACTGAACAGTCTATCCAGCCCCTTGTTTACACTCCGCCTTTCCCTCAGCACTCAGGTTTTTTGGTTGCTTCTTTTGTTCAAGGCTTCTCAATATTTGCTCTCTTGGAGTCCGCCACACATTTAGGACGAGGGCTTTGTTCCTGTTTTTCTTTGGGTGAATTTTTGGTTGCGTTTTTAGTGTGAGGGTGACTCAGTATATGGCGTTCTGCGGGTTACAGAAATGGAAGATGGCGGAATGTATAATCCTCACTTTATGTTTGTTTTGTCCCCTTTGCCTGAAGGCTTACTGGAGACGGAACCACTGCAAGGAAGAGATGAGGATGCAATAGCCAGTGCTGACTTCTCTAGCATGCTCTCTGAGGAGGAGAAGGAGGAGCTAAAGGCAGAATTAGTTCAGGTATGTTTAGTAATCTTCTATTTCTATCTTCTGTTCGACACAGGTCCCAGATTGCAATTATGTTGTCTTTCATGTAATAAAGTGTCATAAATGAACACATTGCAGGATGATTCATTTTTACCCAAGGTATTTTTGGAATCCTGGTTGTGTCTGCAGTAAAATGGATGGCGGTGCTGTTTAGTCCACAATAATAATTAGTGTTAAGTATGTGTTTCTTGTTCTCCTTAGCATAGAGAGGTTGTGCAAATGTTAATCGCTTATGAATCAGACGGAATGTGTTTAAAACCATGGGGCAGATCAGGTGTGGCTGTGCATGCTTGTCATCCTTGCATTCTGGAGGCTGAGGCAGGAAGTTGAAGGGTGGAGGGTTAGCCTGGGATATGGAGTGAGTTCCAGGCTAGCTTGGGCTATATAAGACCTTGTCTCAGAAACAAAACAAAATACAAAAAGAAAAAGAAAGAAAGTAAGGAAGGAAGGAAGGAAGGAAGGAAGGAAGGAAGGAAGGAAGGAAGGAAGGAAGAAAGAAACCATGGCATGGATGTAATCTCCTTTTTTAAAAGCAATTCTTCAAAATTTGTATTATTTTAATGAATATATCAACCATGAGAGCAGCTGGTTTGGCTCTTTTGAAGAAGAACAAGGCTCTTGGAGTGGAGAGGTAAGCTACAATTAATTAGGGCCTAATTGGAGCATGTGTAGCTGCTGTAGGGACCCATCCTCGAGGAAAGGAGAATGCCAGGCTCATCCTAAGCACAGGTCTGTGCCAAGTCTTTTGCAAGTGGTACGCTCTCACCCATCCACTCACTGATTAGAGATGTCTCTTCCTTGGAGAGGGCTGGAGAAGGGCTCCTGGAGCAGAGTGAAGCAGGAGGATTAGAGATGATGGTAGAAACCATCATTCCTTCCATATCCGGTTCGCAGGGCAGGAAACTCTTGTTCCCCACGAAAGCAAGGCTTTGCCTTCCTGTTGGCACCTTCCCACAGGCTCAGGACAGCCTCAGGCCCACCACAGCTGATGCACTATGATAGTTCACTGTCATAGCAAGGTCTTAATTAATTGCAATAAATTGCTTTAAATTTGATTCTGTAATTTTATTATTTACATTGTGTTTTGTTGAGGCAGAATCTTGCTATATATAACCCAGACTGATGTGGCACCAACAATCTTCCTGGCCTTCCGAGTTGGGTTATACCAATGTTTACCAGTACACCCTGCTATCCATTTTCGTTTTATTTTTATCGACACATGTCAGTAGCACGTGTCTATAGGGTACAGTGTGATATATCCATACACGTGAATAGCATGTGGCAGTCAAAAAAGATGCATCATGTATCTGTTGCCTCACACATCTAGCTCTTCTTTGTGATGAGACCATTCAGTCTCCCAGTTAGTTTGAAATGTATAATCAATATTATCACCCTACTATGCAGGGGAGCCTCAGAACTTAATCTTATCCAAAATAATCTTGTATCCTTTGACCATTTTCTCCTCACATCCCTCTTTTTCCTCTCCAGCCTCCAGTAAACACTATTTTACTCTGTTTCTACGGGACTTTTTTTTGTATCAAATATAGATGAGATTATTTAGTATTTTTTTTGTGTGCCTGTCCTTAAATTAATTTCATTTTAATATATTATTATGGGGGGGGAGTAAGCATTGGTTTTAGTTGGATGCTCCCTGAATGCAAACGCCCAGCAACATTCTCAGAATTCCCTGTCTTCTTGGTCACAGCATTACGCATCCAGCAAGTTTTATTTCTGGTACTTTTGAAGTCAGAATCCTGATGGTAACACCAGACCCTTTTGTAACTGTGTGCAGGTTTCTGGGATGCATGATTCCATCCTTCACAGTGCACTGACTTTTAATGCTTTCTGTTTATTTCTGGGTGCTTCAGGGATAAAGACTCACCAAGGGTCAAAGTTAGCATCATGACTTCCAGAGACACTTGTGCGGGGTTTGTACCCCAAACAGTGAAAAGACAGTCACATGTATCTTTGATATTTTCCCTCGCCCATTTCCACTTCTCCCTCGATACCCCGACCTTGGCCTTGCCCTTTTCCCAAGTCAGCTTTCCCTCCCTGCTCTGCTCTTACACGGAATGTCCTGCCTATGCACAGCACTATGGGGCCTTCTCATCGCAGACCCATTCCAATTTTACCGGCAGTACTAGGATCCAGCTGCCACAAGAACACACAGAGATCACCCTCAGCAGTCTCAGCACTTTCAAAAAGCTCAGCCCCTGTCTCAGCCCTCCACAGATGGTCTCTTAGGTCAAAAGTAGCTCTTCTCTGCATCTGGAAGGTCTTACTGGGTTTCTTAGGCATGGGATATGGAGACTCCTCAGAGGCCAGCAGATGACTTGGCAGGTAAAGGTGCCTGTAGCCAAGCCTGATGATTTTAGTTAGATCCCTGAGACTTATGTTGTGGAAGGAGAGATCAAGTCCCATAAGTTGTCCAGTGACCTCCACATGTGCATCTTGGTATGTGCATGCCCTCTTCATTCATTCATAAATTAATAAATCCTTTAAATTTTTTTTTAAAGATTCCTCAGAGACCACCAGTCTTTTGGAGATCCACTTTTGTATCTGGCAAAGTGCAGTCACGTGGCGAAGCAAGACCTCTGTATATAAGGATTGCCTATCTCTGACTGCTTGTCCAAAGCAGTCTTGGGTCTGCCAGACACCCAGACACTGGTTCCCTCCTCTTCAGGGTTCCCTCATAGCTTCCCATTGCCTTCCATCCGCCCAGACCTCCTGCCCTACCCCCCACCACTTTGTTATTAATGTCCCTGTGAGGCTGTCCTCAGACAGTCTTCTAAGTCCATCCATCCGCACGGCCAACACGTCTTGAACACTATTACCTGAACTGTAGTTTCTTTTATTGTGTCATACTTGGATTCTTAAAATTCCTTGGACATGAAACCAGTATTACTCCTGTTCTGGTGCAGTGGTTTGTTCATTAGTGGTGTTGAATGACTATTTATAATTAGCTTGAGTTATTTTGCAGCTTAATCAAAATTCTGTATTGGTAGTGCCCACCATGGAGTATGTGATTTTGTGGCTCTTATCACCATATCACAGAGTGCTGTTTCATTCCTGGTATTTATTCGGTCCTATCGTCAGCTGCCTAGGGTCTTCAAATATCTAATTATCTCTATCTTCAGATAAATGTAATAATTCTTGCTGTCATCCTCTCGAAAATGATTATGGTCCAGCCTTAATAATCTTCTTCCCAGGGGCCCAGAAAAGAAGCTACAAATGGCGAGGATTATTTTCAGGAAAAGAATCTAAGTACACCAAGCTCTTAGTCCGTCTTCTTTATTGCTTTGGGATAAAATCCTATCTACACAGCTTCAGTTCTGTTCTCATGCCTAGCTCCTGATTTCTCTCTACATTTATCTGCTGTCCCTTCTAAGTTCTATCTTAATTCTCTCATCTTAGTTCTGCCCATCTTGATCTTTCTCATCTTGTTCTTACCCATCTGGCTCTTCTTCATCTTCCATCTCATTCTTCTAGTTCTCCAGTCAAAATCCTCCTCAGTCTCTGAGGTTTACAGTTATACACCCATGCAATAGCAGTGCTCTAGCTAAAGCAAGGTCACCAGGCTTGACTTCTTACAGGGTCATAAAGGCAGACAAGAGTTTTCCTCAGGCAGTGACCGTCAGACTTTCTTTTACAACCCAAAAGGGTAGTGGGAAAGGAGGAGGTCAATTAAAAGCTAAAATGGGTTAATATATCAGAAAAAGGGAATTTATGTGCTCAAACTAGAGGTGGTTAGGTAAATGTTAGGAGTCTATAATGTTAGTATAAATACCACTAAAGCTGTATAAGAAAGGATGATCTGAGCTTAAATTACCTTAATTCAGGAGGTCGTTTGGCCTTGGATGCTTGATAGGTGTTTCAGGTAAAATACACTGTTATGAGTTCTTGGAAGCATACATAGCATACAAGGAAATCATTGCAGGAGGCGGCTAATATAGATACCAAAGCTAAAATATCACCAAGACTTAAGCCATGACTTGACCTTCGGAAAAGTCCTTGACCTTTCCAAGTAGTAGCTTTTGTGATAGTAGCTGAGTTCCATTACATTTTCCTGCAGCTTGCGGCATCATCTCCTCCCCTTTTGCTTCCTCTAAGCTGCATTTGATGCACAGTATTCTGTAACCTGCCTGGCTTTGGACTGATGGGCGTGTTGGCGCCGGCACTGTCAATCTGTGGTTACATAACAGTTTGGTACTGCCAATGTCCCTAGACAAAATGACTCAAGAAAAACAGGTATTAATAGGAGTGGGAAAATTCCAGCCAGCACGATCAATAGACAGAGCCCATGTTGAAGCTCCCTCCTCTCTTTTCGTTTCTTCCTCATTGGGTGGGAGGTCCACAACACACATTGCCTCCAGGCTATATAGATTGGAAAAGACTGGCTTGGCCTTGAGCCTTTCATCAGCACTATGTAAAGATTCCATTCCTTCACCTCTTTGCTAGTGCTTGTTTTCTTGATAACCATATTTAAGTGATCAGCTAAAGTGTCTAAGCTTGGCCATAAATATTTCTCACTTGGAGATCCTCAAAAACTCAAATAACCCTAAATCGGTGTTCCAGGTCAGCCAACGTTACGTAGTGAGGTCCTGTCTCAAATAGATAAATAATATTTAAAAAAGAAATCAAAGAACCAACTACTTTTTTCTAATGAAGAAATAATTTTAAGCTGAGGGAAAGGATATTCTAAACGCTTCGGTCAATGTGATTTACCTGCACTTTATCTCACTTTAGATCTGATGTGACTGACGAAATGCTCACAGTGCAGGCTTTACATATCACCTGCAGCAGAATATCTGCGGGTCCATGTCAGATATTATAAGATGTCTGGCCTTACATGATACTTCAGATTCTCGGAGTGATAAGAGCGGAGGGACGAGCCTGGGACTCTGCATTTTACATATGCTCTCAGGATGATTTGTATGAACTGCGGCTAAGTCACTGTTATAATTGAACCCCCAAGCATCAGGACTGGTTTATTTGGGTTCATAGGTTCGGAAGTTTTGACCCATAGTCACTTGGCTATGTTTCTGTAGATAACACTGATGCCATGATAGTACATTGCACCACAATGGGAGCGTGTGGCAGAGAAGATTATTCACATCATGGTTGGCAAGAAGCAAAAAGAAAAAAAAAGGCAGTGGAAGAAACCAGCATCCCCAACATCACCCATGAGTGTCCACCCAAACTCCCTTCCAAAAGATTATACTTCTCAAAATTTCTGTCACCTCCCAAGCTGAGAACCATGCACTTGACACATGGGCCTTTGGGCCCATGCTCCAGATCCAAACTATAGAGGTTATGGGAGATAAGTAGGTCACCTCAAATTTCTAGCATTTTTGTGAGGAGGGTCAGATTTTTATTAAAAATTCTAATGGAAACTGATTCTGTTTCCTTTCTCCTCTCCTTCACAACACATAAGTAACTCACTATGTCTACACAGCCCCACGTGCATCAGGCTGAACTATTCGGATATGTCATCCCTTTCTCCTTCCCTACCTCGGTAATTTACTTCTGCAAGTTAAAGTTTTTCCCCAGGATTTTTATCACACAGTAGAAACTGCAGAAACACCCCATGTATCCATCCCACCCCAAGAAAGAAACAGACTCCCAGCAATTTCAGTCACTCAAAGTGAAGGAAGCGGGTGGGCTCTAGCTATCAAAAGAGTAAAGGAAGATGCCATACCCAAGCTTTGTCTGTGGGAAAAGAACCAGAGATACCCATATTAGGCAGCAGATGAAATACAGGAAGACACTTTGATAAAAATAAAAAGAAGTGGAATATGATGTGATAATAAAGAACAGAGAAATGTGATTTTTAAAATAACACAGTGTTCTCCTGTGATGGGGAGACTAAAGCACGTGCCCTCAGGTAGTCTGAGTGTCCTTCTTTGGCAGCTATCTGCCTACGCATGCACATGGAAGACTTCAACACCAAGAAAAAGACATGATTCCGCTGATTATGAATACATACGGGATGTGTGATTCAGTCTCTCTTCTGGAAATTTTTCCAAGAACATATAAAAACATTCCATGAGCATAAAGAAATGCCTAGCATTAAGCTGTCAGAATGTTTTTCTGATATTAAAAACCCTAAGACATTGCTCTTTCATAATGTGCTATTTACGATGGTTCTCATCTGCTTGTGCCTTTTTTCCTGAAGTAGTTATCTGTGTTGTGGGGCTTAACATGGAGGAAGCAGTTCAGAGAACATGTTTATCAAGTGTGAGGCTGTGGGTTCAATCCTCACCGTGGCCAAAATAGAAGAAAAATCACAACCTGATTCCTTCTGTTCAGCACAGGGAAAAGTCTTCCTTACGCCACAGAAGACACTCCTTGTTTCAAAGGCAGTCGCTGTTCTTCAGCAGCTTGCTCCCTAGTGACCCAAGGAGCGTGTTTGCAAGGTGCCAGGCAGAACTACGCACAGGTTGTGGCCAGAAGTAAAGTGATACTTTGAGTGGAAATGAGACATAGCTCCCCATTTAAAAAAACTCAGATGTAAGATGAATTGCTAAATGGTCTTATTAATAAAAAAAACCCGGAGCCAGATATCGGGGTGAAAACTGAGAGATCAGAGAAGCAGAAAGAAGCCAGCCATGTTCTTACCGCTAGGAAATCTCCAGCCAAAGAGAGAGCTACTTCCTGTACACTCATGCCTTATATACCTATCTGTGCCCTGCCATCTCACTTCCTCTCTCTGCCTAGCTACATCACTTCCTCTTCCCACCCAGCTCTGTTACTTCCTGTCTGTCTGTACAGACTTCCACACCTCTGTGGTTATCTAGTGCTGGGAATTAAAGGCATGTGCCACCACACCTATCTCTGTTCCTAGTGTGGCCTTGAACTCACAGAGATCCCAATGAATCTCTGTCTCCCGAGTGCTAGGATTAAAGGCATGTGCTACCACTGCCTGACTTTTTGGTTTAATATAGTGGCTTGCTTTTCCCTCTGATCCTCAGATAAGCTTTATTGGGGCGCACAAATAAAATATCACCACACTCAAAACTCTCAAGAAACAGGAAGACTTCGGTTACCTCTGTACACGTGGAGTACTGAGGGTGTTCTCACGATGGTTTTACTTGACTTGTTGAAGAAAAGCATGAATGTTGTGCTTCTCGGAAGCAGAGATGGGAAATTAAGCATTAATACCAGAGAGATCCACATAGCTGTAATATGAAGTATGACACACAGTTAAATCAGACTTCAGGAAGTTTAAATTTGTTTTAGAGGATATTGCAGTACCCCAAACTCTGAGTATTTTATGCAGTTCCTTAGCTAGAAATTAACTTGCAAAAACAGTTTCATGGTGATCTACTTGTATGGAGCATGGTGGAAAGAAGAAATATGTCCTCCATACACAGCCTTGGAGGTAGCCTGTGATAGTGGTTTTATTTGTATTAGCTAAATCCAAATGCTCCTTAACAACTGGCAAACCTCCCCATAGAGGAGTGCTCTGCAGTGCAAAGGGAAGGAGCCACCGCTAATGCAGCAACATGGGTCAATCACAAATAACTGTGCTAAGTGAGAGAGTCCAAGCAAAACAAATATACAAGGTATGACAGAATTATACAATACTCTTGAAACTGCACACTCAACTTGAGTGAAAGAAGGAATCTCAGTAGTTGCCTAGTGGGGCAAGAGTTGGGGGGGGGCAGGGAAGAATTAGGGAGAGAAAATTACAAAGCATGGCTAGGAGGGAATATATATTTTTCAGGTGCTAATGATAGTATGGCTGCATGGATACATATGTATACACATATGTATGTGCATATACATATACACATAGATTACATAGATGTATATCCGTGTAATATATACGCTTATATATATGCTTATAAATTGCATATTTAAGATACGTGTCATTTATTGTGTGTCAGCTCCATGTCAATAAATTGCTAAAGAGAACCCAAATTCCTTTCTCACATGGATTCTCACCTCCCTTGTTCCTCCCTTTTTTAAAAAGCACTATATTGGTCAAATTTATTTCTATCCTAATACAGATACGTGCGGCTGACAAGAATAAGCAAACATTAACTAGTAACACGTGGAAAGACGCGGTTTTGTTAACTAATGTGGGCATTACAGAATCAATTACAAAATCAATCTTTCTTTTAAAAAAAAACGTTAAGTATTGGGCAGTGAAATGGTTCAGGCACTAAGGGAACTTGCTGCCAGGTGACCACGGGACCCCAGCTGCCAGGACCCACACGGTAGGAGAGAACCGACTCCTACAAATTATCTTCTGACTCTGCTTACAAGCCTTGGCATGACTACACTCACAGGCATATGGAAAAAAAAAAACCAATTTCCTGGAAAACTAACAGGTGATTTTTATTCTCTTGGTGCTCAATCTGAATCTTTTAGAAGGGAAACTGAGTACTCTGGGAATCACTAAACCTAAGCATCCTGTATCCAGTGTCAGTTTCCGGAGAGTGGACTGTCGTTTGCATAGTTAAGTTTGGGGGCCGGCGGCGGGAGGCCACTAACAGGGTCCGGGTCCTCCACCGAAGCATCTGCTGTGATGTCTCATCCCGCCATTCTTTCTCCCACCCTAGCTAGAAGACGAAATTACAACGCTACGGCAAGTTTTGTCGGCCAAAGAAAGGCACCTCGTCGAGATCAAACAGAAACTCGGCATGAACCTGATGAACGAGTTGAAGCAGAACTTCAGCCGAAGCTGGCACGACATGCAGACCACAACTGCGTGAGTAGATCGCAGAGCTTCCGGAAGTCCCGCCGCTCTGCTGGGCTTCCTCTCTGGTCTTTCCTACAAGGTGGATTTGGTGTTTGTAGATATGAAGAAGGTGTTTTCTTTGGGAGCAAAGTAAAGAGATAGGAGTGGTAATTAAGTATATTGCTTGTAAAGCCAACTAAAAAGGAACTTCCTGCAATGAGCCTGTGTTGATTAGAAACTCTTAATTCCAGGATCTCAGGATGTAGCCCAGCTGGTAGAGTGCATGCCTAAATACAGAAAAACCTGGGTTCGTTTTCTAACACTGTAACATTTGGTTTTGGGTAGATTATGCATTTGAGGGAGATCATGAGTATTTTTATTTCAGAGATTGTGTGACCTCAATATTATACATTCTAAGTCCATCCATTTTCCTACAAATTTTGTGATTATATTTCTTTTTGAGCTAAATAATATTCCACTATATCTGTATCTAATCTATAACTATCTGTCTATCCACTGAAAATTCACTATGTGTATACATGTAAATATATGTACATACCCACTATATATACAGGCATATATACATATACATGCATACACACACATATATATGTTTATACATATATACATGTATATACATAGTAGATTTTCATTATTCGATTATCTGTTGGTGGACACAGGTTGATTCCAACTCTTTGCAATAGTAAATAAAACAGCAATAAACATAGAGGTGCACATATCTTTATGATAGGTTATTGAATTCTCTGGATATGTCCAGGAGTGAAGTAGCTGAGTCATATGGTAGTTCTATTTTTAATATTTGGAAACTCTCAAAACTGATTTCCACAATGACTCTGTTAATTTGTACCTCACCAGGACCGAATCAGATCCTTGTCTCTTCACACCCTTTCCAACATTTGCTGTCAGATTTATTGATGTTAGGCATTCTGCCTGGAGTAGGTCGGTATCTCATGTCTTCTGGGAATGGGCCTAGCTTCCCAGGAAACTGGATGCTGCTTCTTTTCCCTCTGGTGTCTCTTCTGATCCTGTAACCTTGGTGATTGTCAGTTATCATGGGATGGAAAGGCCAGGAGACTTGGCATCGAGATGGGATAGTAGTAAAGTTGGAGTTGTCTGGTAGTCCCTCTGGCAACCCTCTCACATCCAACCAGCTTCAGCGAGCCCACCTGAAGAAGGACTCCTGGCATTCAGGCATCTTTGGCCAGCATCAGGGCAGGGCCATGTTTTGAAGTTAGCTGTTTCCTGGAACAAGGGGTGTGTAGGCCTCAGACAGAGTTCACTATTGCCAATGTCCAGTTCTGTTTGAGATGAGTGTCCTTCATCCGTGCACAACACAGAAGTGACGATAAACAGATGGGCATGTGGTGAAGTGCTAGAGTGTGTGACTGAAAGTGTTGGTACATCTTTAGGGGCCAAAGAAATTGTCTCCTAAGGACCCTTATTTAATCCCAGCACTCGGTAGACAGAGGCAGGCAGATCTCTGTGAGTTCGAGGCCAGCCTGGTTTCAGAGTGAGTTGCAGGACAGGCTCCAAAGCTACACAGAGAAACCCTGTCTTGAAAAAACAAAAACAAAAAAAAAGAATTCTTTTGCCTTTGAGTTATGCATTTCTTTCCTGCTTCATTCATTAGGATGTAAAGATCTTGTCTTCACCTGTGTCTAGTACCTATGTGAGAATCTTTGCAGTTCTTTGCCCCTGGGCTTAGTGCCTGGCAATAAGAAGTACCACCAATGATTGACAGCAATTATTTCCATTTTTGTGAGATGCTAATTTCACCTGCTGGTTCTTAAGCCCCAGTGTCTAAGGCCTTTGTGTGCTGTGGAGGATGCCCTTTGTGTGAGGAGCGGTACCTAAAGGAGCCTGAGGCTTCCCAGCATAGCTGCCTTCAATTCCGTGTGAACCGTTGTTTCTCTTCTCCTGCGAGGTGGCTCATCTGCCCTCCAGGTTTCTATGTGCACGTGCCCAACGCTTCCTCTAGCTAGGATATATCCTAGAGGAAGACAGCATGGAGTCAGGGGTCTTTGAAGCTCCTCTCCAGAGACTACTGACCAACCTCCCCTCGTCAGATGATGAGAGATGATGTGGTGTATAACTCTGCAGAAAGAGTTATATACCACACACTTGTGCGCATCAACTTAAAATAAGTTTTGCAACACCACCATATGAACGACCTCCAGGAAAGGACAGTGGACTATTAGGCACTATATTAAATAAGTTTATCTCTCAATAGTCTGGGCTTATTACGTCTTTGCCCTTTCAGAACCAATAACCAATGAATTGCCCTGAAAGTGTGTGGCTGAACACCCTCTAGTTCCCTGGGTCTGGTTCCCTCTGCACTGAATTTGGGTCTCCGGGCTTCAAATCATACTGATTTAAACTTCCCTCTGGAGCAGGGGAATAGGAAGGGTTGCTTCATCTGGCCTCTCTAATCACTTCAGGAATTAGATACCCCAATGTGAGCAGAGTAATCTGGGGCTGCAGATGGGGAGGAAGGAGAGGGCATAGCTCTGTGGGGTGTGTCCAGGGTGGCAAGTGGTAATGGGGGCAGGAAAAGGAGAGGCCTGTGTATCCTGGAATGTGGAATCCCAGCAGGCAGGTTCCAAGAACCTAGCCATACAGGGAAGAATGGGTCGTCTCTGGTTTTTCATGTCTGAAAAACAAATTGGTGTAGCCAAGCAGTTTTACTTGGTGTAAGACTTCTTGTTGGCTTTAATCTCAGCACTCGGGAGGCAGAGCCAGACGGATCTCTGTGAGTTCAAGGCCAGCCTGGACTACCAAGTGAGTTCCAGGAAAGGCACAAAGCTACACAGAGAAACCCTGTCTTGAAAAACAAAAACAAAAACAAAAAAGACTTCTTGTTGGATAAGAGGTTTGTTTAGTTTGTTCACGAATGATAAACACAGGGCACAGTGGGAGCATGAGCAGGACGGAAGCAGGGTTTCCAAGGAGTCCTCAGAATGGAATCAGTCCAAGAGAGACAGGTGGTGCCTTTCGAGAGTGACACGTACTGGGGATGGAGCAGCAGGAGAGAAGGGTCTACTCCTGAGGAGAGCATCCAGGTAGTGGGCTTGGCTTGGGATGGGGGCAGGCATGTCCCTTAATAGAGTTACCTGTCGCTGCAGGGAGTAGAAAGCCACGAAAGGGTCCTACCCAGTCATTTATCCAACAGGTGCTAGTGAATGTCTACTATGAGGCCCTTATTACCTCCAGGCTAATCGAGACCTCAGGATAATGGGATTGACAAGGTGCCTGCCTACCTTTCTGTGGAAAGGGAACAAGCAAGAAACAAGAAATGAAATAAACCAGTGAGGCGCTAACTGCCAGGGAGGACTTACCAGGATGTGCTGTGAGGATGAGTTGCTGCCAGTAAGAGACTCGAAGGAGAGGGTTGAGGCTGCTGGGATCGAGTCCCAGGCAGGACAAACTTGTTCTAGAGCCTGATTACAGCAGGGACTGGAAAGACTGGAAAGATCCAGGGTTAAATGATCTAGAGAAGAACTTTCAGGTTGAGAAAAAGTTGATGCAAAGACTCTGAGGCCTGAATTAGCTTTGAAGCTTTCAGGAGCCAAAAGACGTCTCTTAAGAAGGTCTAGACTGTATGTGGTGTGCTGAGGTAAGAGCGCAGGCACTGGGGCCTCTAGGGGCAAGGGAGAATTCAGTGCCAAGGGCTCTAGATGCTACTGGAAAGTTTGGAGCAGGAAATGGCCTGGGCTGACGCACATGTATGGATCATTTCCATTAGATTATGTAATAGATTGTGGAGGGCTGTGGGTGGGGGTTGGAAAATCATTTATGAGACTATTGTAAGCGAGAGTCATGGAGAGCAAGGGAAGGATTTGGAGGTCAGTCTGACAAGGAGCCCCAATAGTGTGGAGGTCGATGAGGAAGGGAGCATGTGATGGAATGTGACTCACGCGGATGCTTGCACTACGCAGTATCGGTTCTGTTTGCTTCCAGGTCAGTCGAACGTGGCTGCGACTCTCCTGGGCTGAAGTTGTAACAGCCTGGAGTCTGTGTAGACAGGGAATGAGACTGTGTCAGTACCAATGTGATAGCGAGTGATGATTTGATGAGTTAAATCTTGTATGCAGATGGTGCCAGGTGCCTTGCTAGCTTGTGGTGACTTTCCACTGTCGTCAGGAGGACTGAGACACAGAGGCAGTGCTTACACTCAGTGACCTGTTTCGATCGTGTCTGAACTACCCCATAAGGAAATGTCAGACTGGGAGGACAGCTTGAGAAAAGTTAAAGGCAGAGGTGCAGGCATGCACGTGTGTGTGTGTGTGTGTGTGTGTGTGTGTGTGTGTGTGTGTGTGTGTGAGTCATTCATCCATGGATATCATTGAAAGCTGTAGGATTGGACTTGGAGATAAATAAGTCCAATAACTGTGGTCTCAGTAACCTTTAGGAATGAAATAGAACTATCCTTAGTAGAGAAGAGCCAGTTCCTTACCAGTGAGGAGTGAGAGAGAAATTTATCAACCATATAATTTCAGGAGAGTCTTCCCCTACCCCTATTTCCTTGGCTACTGAGGGAAAGTAGGGAAGGGAGCTTATTAATCCTATGTTGGAAGGAGAGATAACAAAACCATTTCCCTGTAAATTAATTAAATCCCACTCTATCAGTCAGTGTTCACGACTCTCATTCTAGAACACATTCTGTGTCCTATAGGATAGAAATGTGAATAAGAGAGAATGATAGGCTGTGGCAATGTAGCTGGGAAGAATTAGACTTCAAAGCACTGAAGAGAATTCCAGCTTTCAGAGAATGTGTGTGATTCCCAGAGGTGATACTTTGCATGATGATTAGGCAATCATGACCTATTTAGTTTGATTTATAATAAAATCTATGGTATGCTAATGAAAGATCTTGGCATATTTTCTTCAGCAATAGGATTCACATTGCCATAGGACCCAATGAGGAAGAAGAATTACATAATGGACTCAAATTGGTTCCTTTATAGAAATAGCTGAGGGATACAGAAGCAGGACAAGGGTGTGTGTGTGTGTGTGTGTGTGTGTGTGTGTGTGTGTGTTGTTGTTGTTGTTGTTGTTGTTGTTGTTGCTGCTGCTGCTCTGGTGCTTCTCCATTTTGTTCATGCCTAGACTTCTTTTATTGTCTTTTAGGCCTCAAGGAGGCAGAGTACAGATGGGTGCCCTCAAGGAGGCAGAGTGCAGATGAGTGCCCTCAAGGAGGCAGGGTGCAGATGGGTGCCCTCAAGGAGGCAGGGTGCAGATGGGTGCCCTCAAGGAGGCAGGGTGCAGATGGGTGCCCTCAAGGAGGCAGGGTGCAGGTGGGTGACTTAGAGCCAGTACACTTGTTTATGTATTCAGTGTTCTGCTCTGTGAACCCATGACATTCTCCCACTTACAGACCTCTGTGCATTGTGCCACAGAGGGTAGGAATTTTGTTTTGTTTTTTAAAGGAAGTTAAACTCCTCCATCTTTTGTTGAAAAGCTCAATAACTATGCTATAGATAAGGAAAAATACAACCCCACTTGCAGCATTTCAAAGACTTCACAGTGCTTGAAAAGTGAGGTTCAGTTTATGATTTATTTGCTCTTTGCTGGTGGGCTCGTTTTCCAGGTCACCCTGGTCCAAATAATAATTCTCTCTCTTTGTGAGGAGTGCTTTGTAGTTTTGCTGCATTCAAGTATCAGTAACAAATAAAGACCTAATATAAAAGTTGTGCACACCCTATCTCCCATGCAGTTAGTTTTCTTTACCTTTGGGATTCTATTATATTACCCAAACTGGAAAGTAGATTCTTTTCTCCAGAGAGAAGTGGTACATTTATATTTTAATAACATATTTAGGGTGTCTTTGGAAGAAAATGACCCTAAATGGTTTTGTATGTATGTCCTTGATGAGATGTTGAAATGTAATTGTTAAGGAAATGCACTCTTTTAAATCTTTTCCTAGGGGACATATATTCATGTTGTGAAATATCTTGTAAACACAGTTGATGTTTCAGTTCTTTCTTCTAGTTATATGTAGAAAATGCTTAAGTCCAAATCATGCACTGCCATATACAATTGTAAATCCTGTGCTGTATGGGAACTATCAAGGGAATTCCTGCAAAAATTCAGTAGAATTCTTTCTTTTGGCTTGGAGAGGAAGACCCCCACAGAGATCTACAGAAGATGGTCTATGTACTGGCCAAACAGCTCCCCTGCCTATTAAGTGCTTAACCTCCAACCAAGCTCAACTGGTAATAAGTAAAGGCTACTTTCCTGTTAACTGCAATTTAAAAACAGGAAGTTTACTCATGTAAAACAAAACAAAAACAAAACCTGCCAGTGAGGGATCTTGGGTGAATCCATACACCTGGTAGGCGCTGTTACTGTCAGAGCTAAGCTTTTGCAAAGCACTAGTCACTTGTTAGGTAGCTTTTGGCTCTTATCTGCAAGGGCTCATCCCTGTCCTCGGCTGGAACCTGCTTTACCACATTGAGGCTGACCCTCTCCCTCACCACCTTCAGGCCACAGTTGTTCAGCATTGGAAACGTCACACTGGAAACTCCAGCAGCTCAAGTCAAGAAATGGAACTGAAAACCATTTCCTGCTTCTCATCGATCTGTGGATCTTGCTTTAGCTGATTGAGGCCCTGAGATACAGCGATGCTAAACAAAATGTGTTCCCAAACCTCAGGATGGTGCAGGCAGGTCCCAGAGATGGCCACCAGCTATAATCACAACACAGCAGAAAGGTATTCTGAAAGAGTTGTGCAGGAGGTGGTAGGACCAGGAGAAGCATGAACAGAAACCTCCTGTAGCTTGGACTCTCAAGACGTCTGCCACCGAATGCACAAGTGACAGCAAGCACACTGTCACCATCACCTAAAGAAAACATTATGGTTACCCTGCTTTATCAGTTATGTGAGGTCCGATGGTGTAAACCATCTTTGGTTTAAAATGAGATCTGCTAGTGGCTAGAGCTGTAACCCAGCGGTAGAAAGTGTGCTTAGCATGTGTGAGCTAGAGGTGTAACCCAGCGGTAGAAAGTGTGCTTAGCATGTGTGAGCTCCTGGGTACAATCGGCAGCATAATTCCCAGGCAGACAGATAAACAGATGCTAAAATTATAGATGCTATATATAAGAGGATTTCATTTTCTAAAATGCTGCATGTAGTTTTGTATTTGAGTTGCAAGTTTGCCTAACCAGTCAGATTAGTATTTACCTTTCATTATTTGACTATTATTAAAGGTAGTTTTAAATGCTATGGTTGAAAAGCAATTTTAACTATCAACAGTACAACCCAGGCCTGGCTCCACGGCCTAAGAAAAGTAAAGCGTGGGTTGGTGAGATAGCTCAAGGATACAAGTGCTTGCCATACAATCCTGATGACCTACCGAGTTTGATGTCTGGAGTCCACAAAAATCCTGAAGTGCTGGCGGCTCACATCTGCAATCGCAGCACCCACTTCCATAGAGATATGGGAGGCAGAGACAGGGAAATCTCCTGGAAGCTCCTGGGCTAGCTGGCTAGCAGCACACAGAGCTCCGGGGTCAGTAAGAGAGACCCTACCTCAACAAGGTACCAGGAGAGAACAGTTCCTGAGAGTAGCTGGCTGTTGTCTGACCTCCACGTGCATACTGTGGCACATAAGTGCACACACACACACACACACACACACACACACACACACACACACACACCACTATATGCCTATAAAATAATGATAAAATTAGATTTTAAAAAGAGTAAAGTGCAGACATACTTTTGGGGGTAGTTGGGAGGGGGGGAATCAGTGGCCTGACAGGAGTGCCATTTTCAGGGCTCGGGCTCCCAGCATCTAGGTACAATTAAGATCAAGTTCAACCAGGACTCCACATAGAACAACAGGGTGTGGACAATGTACAACCCCTGAGGTACCCTTCACGTAGGCAGTGCTTTAAGTGGTGTTCCTTGGAGCCTCTAAGTACTCTGAGTTCAATGACCTACTTCTCCTAGGCCCTTGGTTGCTATGGTGTTGGTAATCACTTCCCACATATAACTCCCTCTCACTGCCTACCCCTTGAGATCTTTTTTGGTTATTGATTCTAAGCATCATGCAAAATGACTACTAACTGTTCTTAAGAAACAGTTTGCCTAATGAAGAGGCAGAAAAAGAAACACACACACAAAAACCTTAGAATTCTGAGTGTGTGTGTGTGTGTGTGTGTGTGTGTGTGTGTGTGTGTGTGTATTTGTGTGTGCGGTTGCTTACGCATGTGTTTACATGTGCATGGAGGCCAGAAGACAAGCTCAGGTGGGTGTTCCTCGGGCCTTGTTCCTCTTTGAGACAGGGTTTCTCACACATCTTAAAATTCTTAAAATACGATGTTATCATTTCTCTCCATGAAACTGGAGCTATAGAAGGCTGACCCGACTCACCTCAGTGTCATCTCCAAGGCGACAGGACATTATGGGGGAAGGGAGGCACCAGGTCTGTCACCATGGAGCCACAGCACTTTTCCATGCCTCCATTTATCATGTGCAATCGAAGGGACTCTATTCTAATGGCCTTCCAATTTAACATTAACGGCTCAGAGCCCCAAATTCAGTTCTCAGCATCACACATACACTCGAGAAAAACAAACCAAAGAACAAAATGGATTTATGGGTGATTTCTCAGAATTAAGGAGCCCTGGCATCCTTAATCCCGCATTGAGCCATGCATAAGGCTGTACCGTGACAATGAATTTGGAAGTGTAAATAGAGATGCATTTTTCATTGGTAACACATAAGTTTCACTAACACAAAAGTCAACAGATCCTTGTGTGTACCTCCCTCCCATTTTGGGAAGTGCCTTTAAAACAATGTAACACTTACTGCTTACAATCCGACCTCATTCCTAGCCAGTTTTAAATTCAGTCATCCAATTCAAAATGTCACACGTGTGTTCAAAAAGAGCTCTTATCTCAAAACTCAAAGTCTTCTCAACACTTAGTGTTGAACTACATAGACCATCTTACAGTAGGAGTGAATATGCAGGCTAATTGCAAGAAACTGCCAAAGCAGCGCCAGACTGACATCAGAAGGAATTTTCTAGTAGCCCAGCTCAGCCTCCTGTGAAGATCACAGTAGCTGCCCCGTTCTCTTCCTGTTTCCTTTGGAGTGTCTTTCAGGCCACTTGAGTCAGTGCTGGGTGGCTGCCGAGGAGACATTCTTCGCTCAGACTTCCATGACTGCCTTTACCTCGCTTTCTGTGACCTCCTTCTACCTATTGCTTAACTTTTTAATGCTGGCATTCACATGGCCAAGGCTCCAAGAAGCTCTGGCCCTATTGGACCGAGAAAGGTGCCTTCTAGTCTTCCTCAGAGCGTAGGCTTTTTAACCCTCCAAGGTAGGGCACTGACATTAACCTAACCAAATGTTGCCAAATGTGATGGGTATCACAAAGCAGAACAGTTAGAATAGAGTCCCCAGGTTGGATGGGGCCTGGCATCTTCAGGGATCAGTAACGCACCCAGGGTGGCTGAAACAGGGTGAACAAGGAAGAGGCAGAGGGTGGGGTGGTCAGCCTGAGGGACCAGGTTATATAAAGCTATGGAAGGTCAGTGCATATGGACCTTGGATTTCTCTGTATGCGAAATGAGAAGTTGGTGAAGGGTGTGTGCAGAAAAGAGACACATTTGGCTTGATGTTTTAAGGACGTTTTCTGCCTGTTGTGTTGAAAAGACAGTGTAGGGAGAGAAACGCAGGAATGGGAAGATAAGATAGGAAAATGTTGCAAGAGCCCAGGTGAGGGATGGCGCCCAATGAAGGAAGAAGCAGTAGAGACGGTGGGAGAATTGCCAGGCTCTAGTTCTGCCATGAAAATGGAAATGAATCTGGAAGGTTTCTTGATGGATTGGATATGGAGGAAAAAAGATGAGGTCAAAGCTAGTGCCGGTCCCCCATCCATTGGATTGTTTCCTTGCCATTGTGCCTGAGACATTTTGCATAGGAAAAACTGTTTGACTTTTTTTTTCTTTCAGAATTGTGATATCAGTAGTAGTAGGGAGAGTTCTAGAATAAAGCTAACGAAATCTTAATCATAGTGCATGAACATGTTTTATATCCGTGTATGTGGTGCTTTCCTTACCTCCACAATGCCCCCATTCTGTGTTTGAACGTACTTTTTATAGATCTGGTTTCATAACCCCATTACTGCTTTGTGAAAACTCCATCAGCATCCTAGAAATGTAACTGGATAGGAATGCCAGATTTATTTCTTGATTGTTTGTAAATATATGTCCTCGTTTTCATAATTTTCTTTTTTAATATTTATTTTCAATTTGTGTGCATGCATGTGTGCATGCATGAGTGTGTGTGTGTGTGTGTGTGTGTGTGTAGGCATAGAACTGGAGTTCTCGGTGGTTGTGAGCAGCCTGATGTGGGTGCTGCCTGATTGGATCCTCTACAAGAGCAGTACATGCTCTTACCGCCCACTGAGCCATCTCTACAGCCCCAACACTCTGATTTTGAAGGCCAAAGGCATTACATTTAAATGCTGTTGAGCCCAGTCAATTTAGTGTTCAGTATATTGTTTTTGGATTCTGTTGAGTATTGGTTTGTTCTGAAGAACCTCAGCGCATGCCCTTTGGTGATCAGAGAGCTCTGAAATCTTGTGATAAGGATTGCCATTTTTATTCCTAATCGTTTACATTTAGTGCTATGGTAACTGCCTCATTATTAGCAGCAAGTTGTATTTCAATATTTTATATCATGTATAAACCACTTGGCACTCCGTGGCTTCACATGGTCATAATTTTCCATAATTAAAACATAAAGTCTTGTGTAAAAATGTACAAAGTAAAATTATGCTTTGAATATGCTGTTTTCAGACTTCTGCAGAGAAAAACATTAGATTTTTCTGGTGGGTCTTCTCTTCTGTCTTCTCACCTCTCTCTCACTTCTCATTCACTGTATGACCTGTCTGTCACCAGCCAGGGCTTGCTCATATACAATCTGTTCTTCAGAGACATAAATAAACCCCAAGTTAATGGATTTTTTTCATGAAACATTTTAGAAATTTATAGGTTCACAGCTAGGAAAGGAAGACAGTTAAACTCAAAGGTCTGAAGTGTGGTTTGTTGCTGTTTTAACATTTTTGTTTGAAATACCAGCATCTGAAAGGAAGATTGTCTCTATGTAGCAACCTTCACAACAAATTTTGTCAATGGTGATAGAATTTTGGGCTCCAAGCTGGCATGAGACACCAACCAGACTCCAGGATGAAGGGCTCCTGTCACTTCTCACATCCCTTTCATTCTCCTTGTCTTTCTAGCCTCCTTCATGGCTTACTGTTCACCACCCTAGTTGGCATCGTAAACCTAGGAGAGCTGGGCCTAAAGAGGAGGCGGACTAAAGCCTCACGCAATAGCCAACTTTATGCAGAACATCATATGATTTACACTCTGAGGGTTACGAAAGATCACAGGAGTAAGGTATTCAATCACAAGGACAAGTCACACATGACAGAAATGTGTTTTCCATAGAGGCACCTGAATAAACAACAGCTGAAGTAAACTCACCCCTGTCCGCTACACCTGGGAAGAACATGACAACACACTCCAAGAACAGTTCTGTGTTTGGAAGAAACTGAGGTCACAAGACTCTTGTCTCATTTTCTTGGAGTTTTCCCACAAGCCCTCAGGACTCCCCTTGAACAACTCCATTCTTGGACTGTTTTCTGACACTTCCCATGGTTCTCTTTTATTTCTAGGTACAAGAAAACACATGAAACCCTGAGCCACGCAGGGCAGAAGGCCACAGCAGCTTTCAGTAACGTGGGAACAGCCATCAGCAAGAAGTTTGGAGATATGAGGTAAGTCAGAAGATTAAAACAAAGAAACAAAAAACAAAAAACAAACAAACAAACAAACACAGGAACTCCACCAAAGGCATTGTGTATTGGTAGGGTGTTCTTTTTCTTTCTTTAGTGGGTAAAAATGACATTGATTGGTGACAGATAAATTTTCACGTTGGGATATTGTCTGTTTGAAGCTCAGTTTAGAAGCCCATCCCCAGCCTTACCCTCTCCACCAGTAAAAGCAGAAGGCAGAGCGTATGAGAAGTGGCTTCAGAACATTCCAGAACACAAAGAGCCTGGCTGTTTTTATTCATTAACCTTCCTCTTGGCCGTGACATTCTATCTGACAAAACCCACTTCTGGAAGAATCCATTTTGCTCCATCCTTTGAGGATAGAGTCCATCCTGGCCTGGGAGTCATGGCAACAGAGCTTGGTCACCTTGTACCCCTAGTCAGGAAGCAGAGAGAGGTGAATGCTGGCACTCTCCTCTCCATCCTGGACCCCACCCCACGGGCTAGGGAATCTTCCTTCCAGTTTAGCCTGTCTGAAAGCAGCCTTACAGACAGACCCATCCAGAGACATGTTTCCATAGTGATCCTGAATCTAATCTGTTGGCAATGAATATTAAGCATCACATATCTCAATTTAAATTGATATAGGAAATTATTCAGGGGCATCTGCTCTGATAAATTATTCTAGGTTACATGTTTGTATCCAACCGTCTGGTATATTTTATATTTTAAAATGATACTATTTGGCCTATACTTCTGGTAGTTTTCTTTCTTTACTTTACCAGTATATTGACATATCTTAACAACTTACACACCTTCATGTTTAATAACTGGATTATCGTATAGTATACAGCAGCAGCAAACCCTTGAAGTGTCCTCCACATTAGAGTCATCCATAGTTCACAGAGACCAGGGAGGACATGAAGATAGGATATTTTTATTTTTTTATATTGTATGTGAGGGAAATGTTTCTCATTGTTATTACTGTCATATTTGTATTGTTTAAATGCCTGTCAATTTATTTTTAATTTGGCTGATGTGGCTTAGGAGATCTTTCTTTAGAAATTAATTTCATTTTTCTCTTAGAAACCAAATTAATTTTAAGTTGCCAAGTTTTAAGTTTCTTCTTTTCAAAAACTATGTGTACATTGAGGTCATAGATTTCTTAAACTGTTATTTCTCTGAAGCTTTGATAGCTAGAAACAAATATTCATGTCTTTGTATTTAGTTTCTTACATCATAAGTTACTGGATTATGCCTCGTACTCATGAACCATTTTAAGTAGGCATTCTTGTGGAAAGAATTAATTACAGATATGTACATGAATACTCTGCATTGTTTTATCTTCCTTTTTATTAATACCACATTATCAAAAGACATTGAAAGCCTTCAGGGGCGGCATGTGGTTTTTATATTATTAGTTACTGCTAATTTCATCATAGGTCAAGTTTTCAATCATATCAGTAGCACTAAACTATCTATTTAAAAAATAATTCCTTACCCAAGAAGGACCCTTCTGCCCATTTTACTTGAGAAAATATATTTTCCCCTGTGTATAAAGTTCGTCTTCTACAAATGTGACAGCTGACAGTTTTCTCTTGAACACTAGGACCTCACACAGCACTGCCAGGTAGCTTCCCTCCATCTTTATGAGTCCATATCAACATCTGGGGAGCAGTTTTAAAATGTGTGTTCCTAGATTGCTCCTCTTCAAGACTCGAGCTAAGGATGTAACTCAGTGGTAGACAATTTACCTTGCATACATGAGGGAGCCCTTGGGTTCCATCCAGTCACAGAAGAGGCAAGGAGAATTCAATATCGCCGGGGTATTATAGAGTTCCCCTATGTATTATGCACTCAAGTACTAGTTTAATCTTTATTATCTGACCAACTCAAGGTGGTCCTTACACAAAGGAAAGCAGGACACATCTGTGACGGGGACTCATGGTCTTATCAAGGTTCCTTGTGTTTCTCTAGTGAGCAACAAAGGCTTTTGCCCTAGGTAGTGTGTTGGTCTGCTGCTGTTCATACTGGGATGGGTATGAGACCCAGCTGTCACCTGCCTTCCCGCCTGTTTTAAAGTGTTTCATGAGTTAGTGTAGAACTCATTTCCCAGGAGTTCAGGCTGCTCATTAATTATAACTTCGTGGGAAGAGTCACAGTTTTCATTGTGTAGTGGCTGATGTTACTACTCAAGATTTATGTCAATAGTAAAGCAATTACCTAGCAATTCATGAGGTCTGAGGTTTGGGCCTCGTTGCTTCAGAGAAACCAATAGTGGGTAAAAGTCCTGGAAAATGTATGTTTCTAGAGACTTAAATACAGTTATGAAAAATTTTATCAGGTTGGAAAAAGTCAGAGATATGTTTCTAGTTTTTTTTTTTATCAAGTATTACAAAAGCTTTAGTTTTAAATTTTACTAAAACAAGTAATATGTATGTTATTTAAAAATTCCTCCAGGTAAATACACACAAATGAGTTTTTTTTTTTTTTTTAACATTTTGTTCAAACTAATGTGGCAATTTATAAATGTTAAAATTTTAGCACAGGTTTTTTTTTTTTTTTTTTGAGACAGGGTTTCTCTGCATAGCTTTGCGCCTTTCCTGGAGCTCACTTGGTAGCCCAGGCTGGCCTCGAACTCACAGAGATCCGCCTGGCTCTGCCTCCCGAGTGCTGGGATTAAAGGCGTGTGCCACCACCGCCCGGCTAGGCACAGGTATTTTTACCTTAAACTTTCCATTGGTTTAAAGTGTGTTATTGCCTTATACTATATAATTCTTCTGTGTGTTCCAGGACCAAATTTATGACCATGTCCAGTCTTTCTCTCCATCTGCAAATAGCGTTAGTACTGCTTGCCTCACCTGGGTATAAAGCCACATCCATGAAGTGAACTCTGAGGAGATGGAAACTGTTGGGATGGTTTTTACAATCACAGATTGGCATCCTCTCAGAATTCCCCAGTGAATTTGTTCAGACTGTGATCCACTGGGGACCAAATGTTCAGAGGAAGCATAGAATGGAGGCTTGCCATCAATAAATATATCTCTGTGGGAAAAGCAACCAGAAAGCAACATTTACACAGAGTGGCAGACAAAAACCTTTAAAACACCTTTAGAAATCAGTGCTATCAGGTGTTGTTTCTACACCTGTAGATCCCACGGGTTGAAAATATTTTTTTTAACTCGCCTTTATTGAACATGTACAGACTTTTGTGCTAAGACTCTCTAAGTAACAAGGCATAACAAATGCTTTATGACTTTTACCCTGTGTTAGGTATCCAAGTAATAAGTATAGAAGCTACACACAAACACTAGGGCATTTTATGCAAGGACTTAAGCATCCTGGGATTTCCATATCCACGGGGGTCCTGGACGACTGCCCCCTCAACTAGCGCAGGGAAGGCAGACTGTGTACTCGAAAGGACAGTGAATGGAGTTACTTAAACCTTTCTTTTGAGCTCTTGCAAGGGAACAGAAGTCACAGGGGGGCATGTCTGTGCATTCTGTGCTAACTCAGCCCTGATTTTCTCTCCTATGCTGCCTGGCTGCAGGTCTCACTCTATTGGGTAAGCACACGCTGTTGAGTCTCTGAGGCTGCCTCCTCCCATGCGATACCCTTCTACCTTTCGGGGGCTCTCAGCTCCCTTCACCCTGTGTCACAGCCAGAAAAACAAGCCCATTTTCTGGAGCACGCGCACAAGAAGGAAGATGTCAGTTGCACAGCGACGAATCCGTTCATTTAGACACACATTCATCTCACCTGTGAATCTTTCACACCAGTGTCATTTGCGAAGCAGTCTCTTAGAACTAAATCTCCTCTGTCAGAAAAATTTCTTCCTACGCTGACAGGGTCCTTAGAATTCAAAGAGGTTAAAAAAAAAAGTGGAAATTGAGATGGTGTTTTGTTTGTTTTTTAAATAAAACTTGCAGAACAGGAAACAGAGAACTGTTTCCTTCCTATCACTTTTCTCTGAATTTCCTTAACACTGATGCACTGACATCTGAACTTCAATATCCATTTTTTGAAGCGGTGCGGGGAAAATTACTGGAAAATACTTACGATAGGAAGTTAGTGGCTTCCAGCCTAAGGACTTCAACTTAAGCCTTTCTTGCTGGAATCTTAGTATGAACTTAATCCACCCTACCCCAGATTGTATTTAGGAGATGAACAGCTTGGCAATACTGGATTTCCTGTAGTGATGTGTTTTAAATGCAATTTCTATGTATAGTCTTTGGGAGGCTACAGTTACTGCCTGAATGACTTTGTCTTTCCGACATTTTAGTAGGAGGCTGCCCATCCTGATGACTTTAGTTGATAGTTTCCGGGACGTGTGTCAGATTTGATGCCAAACCTGTTAGCTTCTAGAGCAGTGGCTCTCAACCTTCCCAACGCTGCTTCCTTTAAATGCAGTTCCTCATGTTGTGGTGACCCCCGCCCCAAGCATAAAATTGTTTTTGTTGCTACTTCATAACTGTAATTTTGCTACTGTTACGAATCATAGTGTAAGTATCTGTGTTTTCCAATGGCCTTAGGCAAGCTCTGTGAAAGGGTTGCGCCAACCCAAGGGGTCTCGACCCACAGGCTGAGAACCACTGTTCTAGGGAGAGGCACAGGCAGGATCTGTGTTTAAAGTGTGGCAGGAGAGCAAGCCATCACCCAGAACAATGGCTTGCCTCCTCCAAACTGCCTCATCCCAATTCTGGGCAAAACTCAATAGCCAACACCAGGCAATGAGAAGGGAGATGACGAGTCAGCTACCCTCGGATTAAGAGCATCCATCTCCTAACATTCTCAGGCATGTTTATATTTGTACCAATTGTTCTCGGCTACTAGTTCAGAGTGGATGTAGGCTGGTGTGGGTGTGTGGATGAACAGTGTTAGCCTAGCATGTCCTTCTTAGGATGCCCTTCCTTAACCGTCTGCCTTCCTCTGGACGGTTTCTATACAATGGAACATTAGCATCTACCTGCCTGGTCACTGTCCTTCCTGGGTGCAGCTTTCGCTCTTCCCCAGTGTGAGAAGGAAGTGGAGACCAGGGTTGGGCTGGGGGACACCACGCCTTCTAGCTTTCCTGCAAGGCCCCTGGGAAAGAGCAGGGGCCTTGGCCATGGCTCATCTATTCTTCCTTATGCCCTTGGAAGCGGATTGTGGTCGCGTATGCCCAAGGAAGACAAATACCATCTCGGTTGGGTGGGCAGGGAATACATCGGATATTTGAAGTTGCTGTTTTAGAACTGACAACCCAGAGTTTTTCCACAAACTTAAATTGTGCTGTCTTCTTTCCCCCCTCCCTTTAATGTGCTTTCTCCTGAAGGTATTCCATTCGCCATTCCATAAGTATGCCAGCCATGAGGTAATGTGTACAAAATATTCACATCTTACTAATGTAGAATGTATATGGAGCATTTATTTTTACGTGTGAGTTCCTTTCTCGTATCACTTTATGTGAAAGGAATTAGCTGAAGTGCCACACTATGCCTCATGACCTCAAGAAAAGGTGGCCACTTGCAATGGACTTGGTTTTTTGACAGACACACGACTTTCAATCATCCCTTCCTAAGATCAGAGATAAGAACTTTACCTATCGCAACCTCCATTTCTTTACTATACGTTATAAGAGCTGCCTGGCATGGATCTATGAGGCCAAAACAAAGTAACACATTTGAAGCATTAACACAAGACCTGGACCATTCTAAACACCTTTGCATAATCGAATGCAATCCTAGGAGGAAAAAAAGAGAGATGAGAGAAAAAAAAAAAAAAGAAAGATGTCATTAAGATTTTTGAGTTGAGTTGTCTGCTGAAAGTTTAACAATGACAGACCATTACAATCCTGGATGGATTATTGGTGAGAACAACATCCAAGTTCAAGGTTGGCATGGCTTGGTGATACAGTATGATGCAAAGGTAGTGATAGTTTGGAGGCACGGATGTTCATAATGGGAATGAGAAGAGACAGGTCAGATGTAGTGCCGTTCTGCCAAAGATCAATGTTCCAGCCTCAGTAAAGCCATTTCAATGATATCAGTTGCTCTGTGTTGAAACTAACAGGCTGGTACCAGATTTGCTGCTCTTCCCATGGTGCTCCTAGGGGGTGCTCCAGCAGCCTGGGCTGCTATCAGTGTAAAATAAGGAGCACATGGAACCTCTGGGACCTTTCCACACTTGAGTCAAAACTATGGCTCTCCTCTGCTTCCTGGTATACATTATGATTTAGAGTAATTGCAGAGGGAACTCAGTTACTTTAAATAGTATGAGACCACTGGACCCAAATTCTTCCTAGGGTCATCGGCAGTACCAAAAGTTTATAGTTGTACATGATGTAATTAAATCTGATTAAACAGTTCTCCCTGCTCTCCAGCATGCATTCTAGTGTAATTTAATTAGAGGAATGTTTATTCTTTTCTGTCTGATGAAGTCTCTTCTACACTGGGGATATGTGCTCATTTAGTTGGTTGGGAAATTTAACCACAGTGTTTGGTTTTCTAAGTATTTGGTAGAAATAAGATTGCTTCGTTCATCTTCAGAATGAATTGTTACCAGCTCCCATTAGACACCCAGACAAAGTAGGGCAACCCAAGGCTTTTAGCTTCTTGACTGACCAAGTTTAAATCTGGGTGTCCAAAGGTTTGGACAAAATATGAACCAGAAATCCATCCTGTAGTCTGTAGGTCAAAGACAATCTCATCAACTTCCTGAAGTTACCTTTGAAAGGAAATTAGTTTGCTAATCTAATATATATCCACAAACCACCCATCCTACCTGTCTACCCACTGTAGACCTACATAACTGATGGATGTCATGTGGGCAGGCTCAGCCACATAAAGCCTGAAGAGAAAATGAAGTGCCACAGTATATAATTTCAAGTCATACAAATGTAACTTCACCATGAAAGAGGTTATTATGAAGGATTACTCAGAGGGACTTGACTAATGGTTGAGTCATGTGCAAGGTATAAAGCTTTGCCCTGCAGTGTGAATAGAGGTATAGTTCTAGCCATAGGGACTGTCAAAGTCACAGGAGCAATCCTCAACAAAGCAGAGGCCTGGAGAATCCATTTTATACATTAGTTGCCTAGAGCCATGGCTCATCCCACGCCATATAACCAAACCCACATATTATAGCCACACTCCCTTATGAAGAGTCTGTTGGCTATTTCTCTTACTTCATAGTCCTCTGTACTCAAGAAAGAGCAAGTAGTTTATTAACTATGATAAAGTTTAATTGAAATATTTGACTTAAATTAATGGCAATTGTTACTGAAATGCAACATGCCAAATTTAAGATACACCTTCTAGTTTAGCTTATATTTCTTTAAGTGGATTTAGTGATATCATTTTGTGGTGATATCAATTGTTGTCATATCCAACAAAGAAAACACAAAATGACTGAAAGCCACAGGTTGGTAGACAGATAATACACCACAATGTTTGAGTCATAAATAAAATGCCAATGAGTTAAGAAGGCTCCATCTCCTAAGAGGGCGGAAAACTAATACATACAGCTAACAAAGAAACAGGTTAAAGAGCTGATGGGTAGCCAGTGTAAAATAATGAGAACATCAGCTTTCAGAAACACCACTTCCTGGAAATTTGCCAACATCATTATTTTTTTAAGGCATCGAAAGAGAAAAATCAGGAACATCTTTTTTTTTTCCTTCCTTGAGCTATTTCTTGTCTGTCTTGTCTCAAATTTACTGAAATAAATAACTTTAAATTTCCAAGTAGGAAAACTCAGGCATGATCTTTAAACAGATCTTCCACTACAAACAAACAAACAAACAAACAAACAAACAAACAAACAAACAAACAAACAAACAGACAAACAGAAAGCTGAGTTAAGAAGGGGAATATTGTGGTAGAAAACAATTAACAAATGTAAAATTAACTCTCAGTCCCTTGACTCAGTGAAAATGACTTAAGGAGGACTATGGAATTGTTGTGGCTGGACCATTGCCATGGGCTGACCATTTTACTTGGAAATACTCTATGTCTGTGTTTCTGGACCGACCTGAGCAGAAATAAAATGCATTTTAAAACATACTTGGTCTAGGTGGCACACTGACAGCCAGCTCTGGTGCAGAAGTGATATTTCCAAACCAGGACTGAAAACCAAACATGGTTGCTAAGACACAAGGTCTTTGGAGCTGACCTCTCTTTTTTTATTTTAGGAATTCTCCTACTTTCAAATCATTTGAGGAGAGGGTTGAGACAACTGTCACAAGCCTCAAGGTACAGATGAAGCGAATTGTGTATGATTGGGTCCATTTCATGAGGCCAGCTTAGCCATTACTACTGTTAGTGCTGAAGGCAAGGTAGGGCCATCACCCTTCTGTGTAGCTGAGAAGGTAGACATGCATAAAGACAGGCCTTTTCCTCCCACAGAGACCTCCGGGTAAAATCAGCAGTGAAGAGTATTCCTGTATCCTTAGCGCTGATTATAAACCACTCAGGGATAAGTTGTTCATGAAAGTGACTTGGATTTTCATTCACCATTTAATTTCATAACAGTATCCCTCCAAAAAGGTATATGTGAGAGAATGGTGTATAGAAAATGAATGACATTGCTACACTAGGTCACAGATCTTCTGATTTGGACAACAATTAGCAAAATCAAATTGGTTGCCATGTGTCCTAATGCCGTCTACTACCATCAGCCTCCCAGACTTATTTACAAAGTTTGTATACTGACCACAACACAGGATGGCTATCACAGTGGGGAAATTAAACAATGCCACAGAATGCATTGCTTTCTAGTAATGCATTTGATCCCTGGGTATCACTGAACTTACACCCATTCCATGGTGGGTATTAAAGTTTCATTAATTGTTTGACCACAGATGTTAGTCTACAGAGAGGGATAAAAATATCAAAAGCAAAACTAATCTTGATTTTTAAATGCATTAATATAGAACAGGCAAATTCATTGAAAACCAGTCATTAAGAGAACCTTTTGGAAGATGCCAAATAAATAATAATGTCCTTACCTCTTGATATAATTACTATCATGTATGCAGTCCATTCCTATATTTTTATGTTATTGGGATCTATAGATCAAAATGGTAATAATTTAGCTGCCTCCAGACCCTCACCATGTCAGTCTCACATGTGCTACATGGTAGTATGTACCAGGCTGTAAGTTAGTCCTAAACAGACCCCAGGTGCTTCCAATGACTTGGACCTGAAGGATCTTCTCCAAAGCAAGATCTTTCACAAGGTCTGTTTTTACGGCTTGTGATCAGGTTTTGAAGGTTCCAGAATAAAATTACCATTCAGTGTTTACTATGCCTTCATGGCCTCTTCACTCCTCAGTATTGTCTAGTACTTGCCGACTCTCTCTGTCTCTGTCTGTTTCTTTCTCTGTCTCTCTCTCTCTCTCTTTCTCTCTGTCTGTCTGTCTCTGTTTCTCAGGATAAGTAAGGATTAATAGGAGCCATTAAATTGTCCTGCAAAGTAGAGCATTAAAAAAAAAAAGGCAACATACTATGTTGTGCACGAATCTCTCTCTAGAACATCTTGTATCAAAATAAAAGGCTCAGAAATCCCCAGTCGATTTCTCAACACTTGGATTCCAGCCTCACACGAGTCCAGGTTCTGTTTCTTGTTAGAGAACTTCTGTTGTAGGAGAAGTTGTACGTTTTTAGGTTCCTTTAGAAGAAGGAGATATGAAGAAGCCAAAGATGAATAAAGAACAACCTACTTTCATTGGCTTTTAGGGAACGGGTAGGTGCATGGTTCCCATGTAAGTGTTGGAGTCGCAATTACAGCCTCTTACATTTCTCCTCATGGAGACAGAAGGCATAGAGCTAATCTCCTCCTCAGACAGGAACACGATCCTGCAGCCCATCAGATGCTATGCTTTGTTGAGACCTCCTGAAGGCTGAATCTGTGCTTGTGCACTTGGCCATTGCTTGCACAAGACTCACATCCCACATACCTGCTAATCTCACAGTCAAAGCCTAGTCCACTTTGCCCACCCAGGCAGTGGAGAACAGCTTATCATCAGGTGTTGCATGAAGCCTCTCACTTCATCAACAGAAACTTCTCATTACTCCCTGCTGCTCAGACTAAATAACAGATATATTAAAGTCTCCTTTCCATAGCTTACTGCTTTGGGGTTGTAAATCTCCTAAGTTTCTCTCTCAGTCTCCACTTAAAGGCTTTGAGGCTGATTCCTCTTGAGTGACTAGCTCAGTAAAGAAGACTGGATGTCTCTGCGTTTCATTTCCAGGCACAAGCTCCACTATAAGCTTGGTTTTCAAGCCCCTGACAGGGACTCAGGGTCATGATTATGGTCTATAAAAAAAAAATGTCCTGCTTTGAAGTGATACCACACCCTCAAGCAATCTGCCACATGCCATAGGCCGTTGGTCTCAGCCAGTTTTTCTCCTTTTATATTCAGCTCAATGAACAGTGGGCTAATCCATGGGAAACTTTCCAGTTCATCATAATCATATAGAATTCAGTTCTGACATCATGCTGGCAATGTATTCCTGGAGGATACCTTGTCTAGTGTTTCCTGCACAGCTAACCCGCATTCTTGCTATTCCATCCAAAACAGACGGGCAGATGCAGAGCCAGCACCTACAAAAGCACATTTTGTGTCTTTAACCATGTTCTGATTCGTCTTAAACACCAACATCCTGCTACCCACCCCTTCTCCATGTCACATGGACTGTAGTTTTAGTGCACCTATTCTCCGATGATTACATTACAGCCTGAATCAAACCTTCAAAACCTGAAGATGGATTGGTTATGTGATGCTTTTTGATGATTTGTGTTTTCCTAGAGGGAGTAGGATTCTGACTGTGCAGTTCAAATGAAATTGCCTGTAAAGAATGATTATAAGTCCAGGGACAAAGTGATAAGTTCTTAGATGTAAAAATATTGTGAAGAGAAGGGTGCAGAAGAGGTTTATTGTTTGTGTCTTCGTGTAAGCCAAGAATTAGAGTCTGCTGCCCAAAGCACTGCAGTGTGGAGGCACTAAACACACGTGGTTAGGAAATCTCTGCACCCCACTTGCTTGCCAAATTGATTTTCTAAAAAGCACTTCTGTATCTTACCATTTTGATTTGAGAAAACAAAAAATTTAGATAAAGGAAAGCCTAAGAGGAAACATCAGGAATTAGAGTTCACCTGACACAATACTGTGTGATTTCTAGTCTTAAACAGAAGCTGGAAGGGAACTAGCATTTTTTTTTTTTTTGGTTTGGTTTTGCTTTTGTTCTTCAAGACAGGGTCTCACTATGTAGCTCTGGCTGTCCTGGAACTCACTATGTAGACCAGGCTGGTCCTACCTCTGCCTCCCGAGTGTGGGGACTGAATGTGTGTGCTACTACACCCCATGAGGATTCAAATTTTTAAAATCCCAAAGGAACTGGAAGTCTTCACATAGTAGATTCCATTAAAACAATCCTACTTGTTTCTTTGAGGAAATGGCACAGTGGAATCATACATTACTGTCTATCCACCTCTTCCTAGTGCTAAGATCACAGGTTTGGGGCTTGACGCTTTTGTGCAGAGGTCCATAAACTAAGGCCACTGAGGCAGCTGGTCACCTATTTTCAGATTATATATAAGCTAAGAATGGTTTTGCATATTTACTTGTTTGAAAAAAATCAGAATACTATTTTGCCATATATGACATTGAAATGACATGAAATTCAAATTCCAGCGTCCCTACCTCCTCGTCCCATGCCCGTACACTTAGGTAGCACAAGAGTGGTGGCCGCTCTCTACAATAGCTCGTTTAAGCATTAGTGCTCAAGATGATTTGGTTCTGAAGTATGAAAGAGTTACTCTTTGGCCTTTTACAGCAATTGCTTTCCTGGTTAGGCATGGTAGCATATGCCTGTCATGCCAACTAAAGCAGGGGATTAGGAGTTCAAGGTCAGCTTGGCCTATGTAGAGTTATAGGCCAGTCTGGGGGTACATAGGAAGACTCTGGGGGGGAGGTGTATAAATAAATAAATAAACAAACAAATAAATAAATAGATTTATTTCTGATCTAAACATTGTACAAATAAATAATTAATTAGATAAATATCTGACCTAAAGCAATGTAGAAAAGTCAACTTAATAACTGAATTTAAAAGGCAAAAGGATTTTTAGGATAGTTAAAGCGTTTTTAAATGAATGAACTTTTAAACCCCGGTTAAGATTTTGTAAATTCTTTAGATTTATTTTCTTTTACATGTGTGAGTGTTTTGCCTGTGTGTCTGTCTGTGTACCACAAATATGCCTGGTGCTCCTGTTGGTCAGAAGAGGCCTTCAGATCCCTTGGGACTGAAGTTACTGGGGGTTGCAAGCTGCCATAGAGGTGCGGGCATCCGAACCTGGCTCCTTTGCAAGAACAGCAAGTGCTCCTAACTACTGAGCTTTCTCTCCAGCCCTGTCCAGTTAGGTTAAAGGGCAGGCAGCATGGTCATTGTCCCGTGCGGTGTGCACGTCTGTATACTTTGGTGACAGTGGGTGCAGACATTAGTCCAGCCATAGCAAGAGCATTATCTAGTCTCTACTATCCTTGGTGTTTTTACACATTGTGGATGGCGAAGGAAAAGCCAGTGTGAGTGTTCAGACTTGCATTAAATATTTGGGAATCTAAAGCATGGATTTGAAGAGCGTCTAAGAACAATCATTCAAAATACTTAAGCATGTATTTAAAATGTAGGTTGACTTCTTTGTTCCTACTGAGTCAATAAATAAATAAGGACCACAAAAGAGACCCACCATAAAGTATTCTCAGGGATTTTCCTACTTGCCTAGAAAGATAGGAAATTCCTAGTGCTCAGGCAGGCAAAACAAAACAACAAAAACTCAAATCCCAAAACAATGGAGGCAGGGGTAGGCTGGAGAGCAAACTCAGTAGGTTTAGTGCTTGTCTTGCAGGCACTATGATCAGAGTTCAAGTTCAAAAACCCCTGTGAAAAATGCACACATAGTGATACACACTTGTAATCCTAATTCTGGGAAGGTGGAGGTGGGTAGGTCTCTCCAGCCTGGCCTACTTAGAGAGTTCCAAAGATTCTGTCTGAAAAGAGGGTGGGGGCGCAATTGAGATTATCCTGTGACCTCCACATGCATGCACACATATGTACATGCACACCTGCACACAAACTTGTATCGACAACCACATGAAGATGCATACATATGTGTAAAAAAAAAGAGAGACCTTTTCAGAAATTAGGATTGGCCACCAGTTATGTCTCAAATAGAAAACACAAGTATAAGTCACATAAGGATGCTTATTTTTTAAAACTGGAAGAATCAATTTAAGATCCAATTCCAATTAGATTAAATCAGTTCTCTAGATGGATAGAGACAGATGTTGCACATCTACAGACCTGATTATATTCCTACAGGGATTAGAACCGTACATGTAGAAGAGAGAAAGGGAAGAGCGCTAAACTTGTATGAAATTAAAGTTTGGGATCTTGTCCTAGAAACAAAATGAATGGCATTCTGGAACCCAAAGGAAACTAACTTCTCTAACTTCATGTGCCTCTGAGGAAAAAGAGTTATTTCTAAACTCAAAAGTAGTTAAACTTTGGGCATTCTTATAAAAACAAAAAATGACAATGAAATGCTGACGGGATTTTTATCTCTCTGCCCTTTTCAGACGAAAGTAGGAGGGACAAACCACAGTGGAGGCAGCTTCGAGGAGGTCCTGAACTCCACAGCGCATGCCAGCTCCCAGAATGCTTCAGGAGGCCCCCGGCAGACCACGGATGAGGAGCTGCAATGCTAGGTCCAGCCAGCCAGGCTGCTGGCAGTGGATCTGCTCGCTCATCTCCTGATACGAAGACCAAAATCCCATTGGGAAAACAAGTTTTGATATTGCTATTTAAATGGCCTCTCCCTAAAGTTTAATAAAATGATTTCCATTGGCATTTGTGTTGATGATGGACCCCTGGACCATCACACTGCAGTATTCTCAAGTGTCATCGTACAAGTTCATAATTGGTCATAATTCTTGTCTGTGTAACTCAATGCATATTTCCCAAACATGCAGCTACAATGATTAGCTTTGGTATTTGCTTGGTCTCCATAACAATGTGCATGTCTGATGTGCTATCAGTTTGAAGATCAATAGGTACAGGCACTCTTTGAGACTGTCGCTAACAGTAGGCCAAGTGACTACAAACTTCACCAAACTGCTTGTGATCTCTCTCATCTACATCAATTATGTACATTTATTTAAGTCATTAAAACAATCCATTTTAATGATGACTGGATCTTTGATTTCTTTAGTTTGCCGGGGCTACTGAGGACTTAAAGTTGATAGCAATGATTCTATAGGGGTAATTTTAAATCAACTTCTGAACTGTATCAGAGAAAGCATTGCCTAGTACCATAAGTAATTATCTTCAGCCACCAACTTCTATTGTGGATGAACAAGTTGTCTCAGTCTTACAATCTGAAAACGAAGAATTCAAGTTGCATTGAAAAATGTCCAAGAAAACTAATCTACTAATATCTCAAAGTTTCTAGCACACTGATCACAGCACTTAATGCACTCATTAAAGTTCTAAGTTTACCAATTTCGTTAATAAACTATATCCACTCCAGAACTCAGAAAGTGAAGGTCTAAGGACGGGGAGTGCAAGGTCATCCTTGCCCTACATGGTGAGTTTTGAGGCCAACTTGAGCTACTTGAGACCCAGATGCAAAACCCTTCTCTGTGCTCATTATTTGTAACACCTCTACTCACCTAAGGCTGCTGCTTCTTTCTGACCCGGAGTGACACTTTCCAGGGCATGGTGTGAGCATCCTTTCACACTACTGTGCCTGTGAGCAAGTCACAGCACTCGGAATAATCACACCAGACATTTGTAGGTGGGCTGTCTTAGAGGTGAGAGGGGGCCCAGCCTCAAGGGCGCCCTACTTCACCATGAGCCTTCTCAATTAGGACTGGCCTGTTTCTACCTGGCGTGGCATGTGCAAGCTCATCCTGATCTGGAAGCCTGCTGTTGCAAGAATGTCCAGCTGTGCTCATTCCTACGCATTATGGCCTTTCACAAGTACTAAAGAAGATTTGTACACAGTGACAGAAGCTTTTGCTAACAAATCAAAATGATTTCAAGTCAACATGATGTACAAGGAAAAATACCTAAAAAAAAAAAGTGTATTTTAGTCACTACAAATTCTGTGGGGGGGCTGGGGGGGTGAGTTGGCACACATGCTACACTGTGTGGTCATATAGAGGTCAGAGGCACTTACTGGAGCGGGTTCTCTTTTCACCACGTAGAAATTAGGGATTGAACGCACGTCTTCAGCCTTGGCAGCAGGCTCCTTTACCCACTGAGCTTTTTTGCTACCCTTCATTAGTACTTTTAATTCATATGGTAGGTTTAGTTTATACCAAGGCAAACCAAAACTAGCTACAAATGTTTCACCACGGTTTCTATTGTTGATGAAACAAATACTCGAGGCTGAATTCTTTATAAGGAAAATGGGTGTATTTTTATCTCCTAATTTTAAAGGTTCAAGAACATCTCTTTGGCTCTGGAGATGGTCGCATGTCTGACAGCAGAAGCTATCACATGGGGACCCAAGAAATGAGAGAGTCAGGGGCCAGGCTTTTTTATAGTAACTTCTTGAAAACCAACTCACTCTGCAAGACCAGCATTACTACTACTCAAGAGCAATGCCCCCATTACGTACTTACCTTGCATTAAGTCCCACATCTAAAAGTCCCACACTGAGAACCAGCTTCCAGCACTGGAACCTGGACACACACCTTACCCAACCCAGGTTTCAGGAAACTGAGCCTGGACACACAAGATCCTGAACCTCAAGACACACATACACCGTATCTAGCCCAGGATCTGAGCACATGAACCTAGATACATACACATCCTATCTTACCCAGGCTCCTGGCACATGAACCTGGACACCCATACTGTATCCAACCAAGGCTCCCAGCACTTGAACCTGGACACATACATCATACACACTACCGGCAGCAAGTCTCCCATAAAGACCATTGCTCCCCACATTTAAACTGTAAGGTTATAAACATAAAAATACCAAGTCCAAAGGTCATCTCTTTACAATGTACTTGAGCAGTCACTCACCCAGGGCACACATCACCCACAGGCTTTGAGAAAAAACTGACATTTTCCAAACGCAAGAGCCCAGAGAATTATGTCACAGCTGGAGAAATGCCAAGCCACAGGGAAAAACAGTGACCAAAAATTATTTTTTGTTGAATTCAACCCAAGAATAATGATGTACTCTGCATCATAACGGCAGGACTTGTTATTCAGAAGACCAATCTGGGCAAGCAGCAAGAATCCCCCAGAGAAAAGCAAAAATGTTCCAATGTTTGTAGACGTTGCTGATAGTCAACAGTTACCTTCCATTATTGGGTTTCTGTTTGTTTTTTATTAAGATTTCAGTCACAGTCCCATGACGTTTCTTTCTTTTTCAGAAATAAAGTTTAGGGAAAGTCTCGCTGTGAACTGTCGCTTGGTAGGAAAATGATAAACTGAGATAATGAGGAAGTAAACAGTGGAAGGCCTGAGCCAGCGGAGGCTTCCAAGACCTCCAAACTGTCCTAACTTCGTGAGAAATGCCTTCATGCAGCAGGCGGAACATTGAAAATCAAAGCCCAGAAAAGCTTCTGCCCACACATTTTTGAACTGTCTCTGGGGTTATTTTGTGTAAATTTCCAAACCAACAGGAGAGGCTCCAAAATATGAATAGGTAGAATTATTTTCCTACTCAGCAAACCTTCAAAAATAACATTTTCACATTCTTTACCTATCGACCCAGTGGATATACATTCGCATGTGTTGCTTTTGCAGAGATCATGTATCTTGCTTCCTGCAGACTGGGTATCCATGGCTACTGCAAAGAGTTTCCAGAGAAACACTGCTGAGAATATTCCACACCAGTCTCAAAGGCCTCCTTCCATTGGAAGGTGACATTTCCATTAAAGGGACAGGCCTCATTGCTCATGCTGAATTATCAAGTAAGTTTGCACGGACAGCCATCTTTTCCACACTTTTTGATGGCGTACACAACTAAAGGCATGTGGAAGGGATTACTATTCCCACCAAAGAGAAGTAAAGGAAAATATGAACTTGGCAGGCAGATACCTACTTTTGAAGCATTGACTCCAGCAACATTCTGTCACCCATTCATAACTTGTTATTATAACCAAGATATTACATCATAAAGAAAAAAGAGGAGGACACACACTGGGCATTGGAAATATTATGCCCTAATTTACATCCTCAGATGATAAAGCACTGGGAAAGAGGGCAAATGTGACATGCCTATAATGCTAGTTACTTGGGAAGGAGGAGGATCTAGGAGGGCTTGGACCAGCCAGAGTGAAACCTGGCCTCAAGAAAGGGACCGTGTGGGAAGAGCATCTCGCCTGGGTGAGGATACAGGAGTAACTCACTGCTGCACCCAAAGAATAATCTGTTCTCAAAAGTGATTATAATTAAATGTTCTACCTGCCAATGAATCTGCTCGTCAAGAACATGGGCCAACAAGCAAGCCCGAATAAGGTAACTGAAGACATCCAAAACAGAAGCCAAAGTTTGGAGTGTTTAACATTTATTTCATTCACAGAATAGGCATCCTCCTCCCGAGTCTTCATCCATGGCATCGTCCTGACCACTTCCGGTTTGGTAGCTTCGCCTGGATTCTATCACAATTCTTGTTCAAGTCCAGGCAATAGAAAATAGACTCCCATCTTGGGAGATCCTCAGACCGACAGTAGACAAACACGTTCCCATGAAGAAGACGAGGAAGCGGTGGGGCAGAACAGGGAGCCGAGCTCAGGAGCCCGGCTCTGCGGCCGCTGTGAGTATATTGGCATTCCTCTCCGCCTCCAGTTCAGAAACAAGCTGGACGATCTCAGGGTGACTGAATTTTCCTGGGGGGGAAAAGACACTTCTATATGGACGAGAAAAGACACCATTTCTTCCATTTGACCCCATGGCTATCAGGGGCTCTCTTCTACGGACTCGGCTATACCTGAGAGCAAGAGATTCTGGGTCTCCGGAAAGGGTAAAGGAGACCACTTCAGCCAGGGTGCAAGGATGAGAATCAGGCAAAGAATCATCGGTTAGGCAGAGCTGGAAGGAAGAGGGCCAGGCGGCCCCTGAGTGCCTCTCCCAGGGACACAGGGGAAGCGCGGGAGTGAGAGCCCAGAGGGCAGATCCATCTCTTTCTTCCAAAAGTGAAATGAATTAAGGGGACCCAGTGCCTACATAGAAAATGGCCTGCTGGGTGGGGCTGGTGCATGCCTTTAATCCCAGCACTTAAGGAGGCAGAGGATCTCTGAGTTCGAGGTCAACCTGGTCTACAGACCAGAGTTCCAGGACAGTCACGACTACACAGAGAAACTGTCTCGAAAAAGAAAATGGTCTGCAGGAAGACCAGGGCACAAAGAATATAAATGTCCCTCTGGTTAACATCTCCAGTAGCTGATGTCTGCCATTGTCCCTACTCTTCGCCCCCCACCCCTCAGGACAGTAACCACACCCTCATCTATTATAAATCATTACAGATACCTAGCGGAGTTGGCCAGCTAACCAGTACTGACTACACGTGACCCACGAGTCCCTCAGAACCTTGGCTCCAAAGCCATTTCTCAAGTTTCACCTCCCACCACCTTCCAGTGTTTTGTTACAGTCACTGAAGCTATCAGAAGGCGAGAGCCGGAAGGAGACTGCAAGGCTGTACCAAACCAAGACCAAATGTAGACTGAGCAAAAAGGGAACCGTGAATTCTCACAGGGAAGACTAGGAAAGGACGCCCGAAACACGGGTAGCAGTAGGTCCTAGGGCATTTTTGGTCAGTCAAAAGTGTCAGGACTTTGTTTTAGAAAGAGGAAAGCCATGTGTTTTTTAAAAGGAAGTTATCAGCCTAGGGGCACAGCTCTGGGGTAGAACAGTTACCTGGCATGCACGAGGCCCCAAGTTTGACCCCCACTCCACCCCTTCCTGCCCCACCCTCCAAAAGAGGAGCCGATGACACCCGTATCTACAAGGGAGGTCACAGTAACAGGCCAGTGTAAACTGAGAGCCCCGTCTAGAGCAGAGGAAACAGAGGTGGAAAAAGAGAAAAAAAGAGACCGGCAACTGCTTCGTTCTCGTGCAAATAGGACTTGGGGTATTATAGTCTGTGAGTCAGGACTTCCATGGGTTTGGTGGGGCCACACAAAGGTTATGGCAGGTCAGAGCAAGGCCAGCCTTTGCAGCACTCTCGGGGGAAACAGAGACTGGGCTGATCGTACAGGGCTCCCAGGAAAGGGATGGGGAGTCATAGCTGAAGCAGCCACGGAACATCCATCTCTAACAGTGGTCATGGCTCCTTGTTCTCACACAGTTGGTATGGACGCTTGCCTTGTAAACGATCAAATAAAGACAGTGAACAGTGCAGGTGCTGCGCCAGGCAGGCCACACGATGTCCTCCTGCATCCTCACACAAGCCCATCTTGTAGGTCCTATTCACGTCCCCACACTAGACTGAATGACTGAATCTAGGGCTTTACACATGCCAGGCAAATGCTCCACTACTGAACTACCTCCCCGGCTCTTTTTTCTAAAAATAGAGTCTAACTATATAGCTGAGCCTATCCTCCAAGTCAAGCCCTCCGCACCCACCTCCTGAGAGGTAGGGGTTAGGAGCACGTACAACAGCAGGCTCAAGGATCTCCATTATACAGAAAAGGAAACAAAGATTCAGAGGGCCTAAGGGGTCTATTAGAGATTTACAGTTACATATGGCATACGGGAGATTCAAACCCACGCATCATGAGTCCAGGGCTGTGCTGTGAGGTGCTAACATGAGGGAGACATCCACCTGGTGGGAGGAGGCGGAAGACCTATTTTAAGTCACTCACTATTTCTACCCCAGTCTTACAACTCAAAAGCCCTAACAGATCCGAGCCCTTTTACATGCCTTCTCTCCCGCTGACAACCAATTTAGGACTGACTTCAGAAAGGAGTTTTGGTTCCTATTTTTCAGATGAGGCACAGGCTCGGAGATATCAAGAGCTATCAAGACATCAGATATTAAGATATCTGACAGGCGGCAGAAGCAGAATGTGAACACGGTGCTTGAAGTGGCAGTGTCCCTGAGTGGCATCTCAACTAGCCATCCCGCCATTACCATTTTCTTTTCAGATGTTCTACTTAAAAGATCAGAAGAGAGAACCACCATGGGGCTCAGTAAAAGACCATCAGTCCTCACACTAAGATTACACCTAACTAAACCAACCAACCAACAAACCAACCAACCAACCAACCAACCAACAATGCTTACGAGCGTGAATACCTGCTGTGGAATCATAGAAGTCTTGAAGCCTCCCGGGTTTGTTCTCCATGTCTTCATATTCTGATGCCTGAAGGATCATCTCACACTGGTCCAGCTGCTTCACGAATCTGGCTTCTGCACTGGATTGGGTCTCATACTCCTAAGGAAAGGGACATGTAAAGGGCACGGTTAGGCTGCCTGGCTGGGGATTCTAGGGAATTTCCTATTTGGGTACCTGGAGTCAGAATCACAGCGTAGGGAATGAATATTCAGCACCAACTGCATTTCTCCACTGTGTACAGATAAGAAGAGACTCTTGACTTCAGGGCACAGTTTAGTACTAGGACTCCATGACTCCATGCAAGATAAAACACTCCACAAATGCCACCCAACGCACTGGAAGTCTCTAAGATGAACACGTCATAAACACTTCCAAATTCTTCTCTTCCTGTCTTGGTTTAAAGATCAACATTCTTTTTTAAAAAAATGTATGTGTATGTGTATCCATGTGTGTGCAGATAAACATGTTTGCAATTGCCATCCCTTTTGTTTGAGACAGAGACAGGATCTCTCATCAGCCTGTGGTTTGCTGTGTAGGCTAGAAGGCCAGTGAGTCCCAGGGATCTGCCTCTGTGGACTTGAGATTGCATGCATATTCCTCTATACTTGCTTTTAGTCTGCCTGCCTGCCCTCCATTCCTCTCCCACCCACCCTTCGTCCCTTCCCTCCCTCCCTCCCTCCCTCCCTCCCTCCCTCTCTCCCTTTTCTCTAACATATGCTCTGGGGATCAAACTCAAGTCCTCATAAGCACATTACAATCTGCACTATCTCCCCAGCCCTAAGACCAGACTCTTTGGTCCACCTGAGTTGAGTAGATTAGATCTAGTTAACCTAGAGACTTTTTTTAAACCTTAGACTTCTCAAAGTTTGCAATCTCTCCTCATTTCACCTCAGACTACCTCTTCCTCTAAGCTAATGAACAGCTTTGCTAATTACTTTTCATTACAAGTTTACCTGGAAATCTTTGTCCTTGTGATCCACCTCGAGTAATTAGTTAAGTCCCTCTGGGTTATAACTACTAGGGACATTAGAAAGCATCTAGGAATTTTACACACTGCTGTATGTGTGTGTTGGTGGCAGGAGACGTGAATGTGGCGGGAGGGGAGGAGCATTTTTACCTTTTCTCTTCTCGCTGTCCCTCCCCTCCTGAGTGACACAGGGAGTTCCAGGGGCTTCCTTCTCAGAGCAGAACGTATCACCTGCAGCAAGTTCCAAGTAATGCTGCACAGAACACTCTTCTATTAAGACCCAAGTATTCCCAACTGGTTTCCCGAAGAATTCTCATTTGTAATTCCACCCAGCTGTATTCAGATAATAAGCCTGCCATGCTTTCTCGGCAGTGAGGACATGATACAAATCACTGAAAGGTTTCTTCGGCTGTATTCAAAGCCTGATTCTCATAAAGGCAGCCATTTGAATTTGGTAGGAGCTGAATTTTACACCTGGGGGATCATTTAAACATGAAGCCTAATCTATATGGCTTTATCTCAGAGGCACTTTTAAAAAAATTACATTTTACTTAAGCGTTCATTCATATTCATAGTTATATAGTTATATTAAATAAATTCAAGTTCATGGTTTAGCCAAAGGAAACTGAAGACTCCAAGCCAACCAAAGTAGGATTTCTTTTCTGCTCAAAGTGAGGGAAAAAAAAAAAAACTTTAAGAGTGTTAGAAAATATAGTACATTATTGTGCTGGCCAGTTTTTATCAGCTTGACACAAAACTAGGGCCACCTGGGAAGAAGGACTCCATGAGCATGGCCTGTGGGCATGTCTGTTGGGGCATTTTCTTTATTAATGATGGATGTGAGAGGGCTCAGTTCCACTGATGGTGGTGCCACCCCTGGGCAGATGGATGGTCCTGGACTGCACAAGGAAGCAGAGCAATCCAGTCAGTAAGCAGTGTTCCTCTGTGGTTCCTACCTCTGCTCTAGCAGTCATTATTATCCTGACTTCCCTCAGTGATGAACTATTACTAGAACATGTTAAGCCAAATAAACGTTGTCTTCTCCAACTTGCTCTTGCTCATGGTGTTTATCAGATAAAACAGGAAGCAAACCAATGCAACAGATTGCACAGAGAATCCTAATGCATTTACAGAATATTTTTAAAAGGCAAGCAATTTGTTGGATTTTTCCCTTAAATAATTTATTGTAAAGGCATTCTCTGATTTTATCTTTCAGTAAAAAGTCAGGGGCTTGGTGAGATGCCCCAGCAGTAAGCAGGTAAAGGTGCTTGCCACTAGGCCTGATGACCTGAATTGGATCACTGGAAAACAAATGGTGGAAAGAATAAACCGACAACCATAAGTTGCTCTCTGACCTTCACATATGTGCTATGTTACACATGCGTGTGCACACATGCACATGGACAATAAATAAATTTAATATTTTTTTTAAGGCAGAGTTGGGCAAAGAACACTCCAGACCAAGCTCTCAGGATGAGAGGTATTCTGACATTTAAAGAATTACTAGGAGCGGTTGCTAACATCACACCTGAGAACCCCGCGATGGAGGAGGAAAGAGAAGAGGCTAAGAATGAAGCAGGGGTCTGTGCCTGCAGGGTCTGGGCTTCCTGTATGCAGTCTCAGCTTCCAGTGCATCACAGACATCAAGGAGGGGTTCCAAAAGGAAGAGGTATACCCAGATCTGATGTTCGGAAAGATCACTCTAACATGCAGCATGGACAGCAGTTAAACCAGAAGCAGCAAAAACATCACAGTCTGGCCTACAATCATGGCAGCCAGGAGAGGAAAATGTGGAAGGATTTGAGAACTGTTAATGATGAAGTGCGATAAATAAAATAAAACTATACGCAAGTGAGACAGCCCACCTGCACCCACGAGTCATGAATTAAAGCCAGCATCTGTCTGAAGAAAGCATCGCAGTACAAAAGAGGATCAAACCAGGCAACAGGTGTCCATCATAAGCCTTAAGTTTGCAGACAGACACTGGGCAAGATTCTGTGCACCCTAACAGTAGATGAGCACCACGGGCTTACACAGGACAGTCCAACCCTAAGATACTCCCCTGTCTCACCTTTAGGCCACCCTACCAGGACAGGGACCCATGCTAGCAAGAGAAATCAAAACTTGACGGTAAAAACCATCAAGATGAAAAAAGAAAAGACCTAGATAAAAATGGGAAAGGGGAACATAGTTGGGAAGTCCCTAAAACAAGTCTCCATATTTCTACATATTACATGAAAACACACACAACCCATACACCACCACCACCACCACCAACAATTACCTTGAGGAGGGAGATCTGAACTATGCTTCCTTCCAAAAGTTCAGGAAATATGATTTCAAATGAAGCTGAGCAACAGAAAAGCACAGTGATCAGATCCCAAACAAACTTAGACGACAGAATAGGAAGTAAAGTAACACACCCCACATTCACATCAGAGAGACACTCTCAGATTTAAAAATAGATCAACCGTACCACAAACTGCCCCCAAAGAACTAAAAGATGGACGGACGGATGGACAGACAGACAGACAGACACACACACACACACACACACACACACACACACACAATGTGACATTAAAGAACAACCTAGAGAAAAGGGTTATTTCAGAAAGAAATCTAAGCAATGTGCAATTGCAGAGCACCCGAGCATGGTAAGTGTGTCTAACGGAAATTAAAAACAAAAATAGAGTTTAAAAATGAACGGTTTCAAAATTAAGATGCAAAGGGTTTCGGAGACGTTGACGAAGATTGGCAGTTGGCAAAAAAAGGATAGAATCATATAGGATTAGAAGAAGAGAAAAGAAAGAAAAATTGGACATCAATAAAACTTCTTTGAAATTACTTTTTTCCCCCTAGAGTATGCTGAAAGCAGACTAAATACTCAAGGAAATTAACTCAGGATAATCAATACAAAGATATATTCTGATAAAAATTACCAGACAGAAAAGAAATTCCTTGGACTCCTATATAAGAATTAGACTCTGGCATAGAACGAGAAGAAAATGAGGATTAGACTTTGACAGAAATGTTTTATGTTAGCAGAAAATGAGAAAAATACACTTAAAGACATTCAAGAAAAGAAAATGTGAGCTAGGGACTTTATATCCAGGGAAACTGAATTTTATGGATAAAAACCTACAGAGAAGCTGAGTCAAATGCAAGAAGTTAGGGAAGACTGCTCTAGGAGCCCTTCCGAAGACTCAACTACAGACTAGACTCAAACAAGCAAACTGTTCAGGAGTTGACAGTCTGGGTGGCATGTGCTAGGCACGAGGTTGATGCAAGGCCATTCCTTCTGTCAAGGAAGCCATCACATTCAATCAGATCTTCTCACCTTTCTTGTAGGAACTGCAAGCAAAGAGTTGAAAGGCAACCACAAAAAATACATAAGCTACAAAGTAAAAAACATTAGAATACTACCTTCCTGCAACATCCAAGGTTTAGAGGATACAAGCATAAGGAGAAAGCAATTATTATATATTGCCACTGCTCTAGAGGCAGTAGAACCTGGGAGAACAGAGCCGATAAATGAGGTGGACTAAAGTCTCACGCAACAGCCAACTTTTCTCTCGGACAATTTATACTGAGTCATCCGAGCAAAGTGTCCAATCCTAAGGACAGGTCACACGTGGCAAAAACGTGTTTTTCCATAGAGGCCTATGAACAAATAACAATAGCCAGTTGTAACGAAAATCTGAAGTAAACTCACTCCTTTGGCTCCACCTGAATGGGCCAGAAAACACATTCCAAGAATAATTCTGTGTTTTGAAAGAAACCGAGATCACACAACTCATCCTATTTTCTTGGAGTTTTCTCACAAGCACTCAGAATTCTCCTCCCACGACTCTATGTACCTCTTGAATGATCACAACACTCACCGACAGTTTTGTCAAAAAGATTCAGTCCGAGTGTGATTAGCTGCCAACCTGTATCCAATAACAGAAGACCTCAACAACGAGTATGCAGCTGGCAAACCCAGGCTTTTCTGACTCCATTCCTGGCCAAATAGTTTAGAATCCTCAACAGATAACTTGAAAGAAAAAGAAATGGATGAAGGGAGAGACTATAGATTCAAAGAGACCTGAAGGAGAAATTAAGTTGAAAAATATACACAAGATTAAAGTAC